GCTTGAGCCCAGGAGTTTGAGGTTGCTGTGAGCTACGATGACGCCATGGCACTCTAGACCGGGCAACACGGTGAGACTCTGTCTCAAAAAAAAAAAAAAAAATGTGTTTGAAGGGACATTAATATGATCTAGGTAGATGAGAGGCGTAACAAGGTCAAGATTGGGGGAGTTAAGGAGGTACAGATAGGAAAACACTACCTGGCCCTGGAGAGGGCTGGGAGGTGCTTGGATTTCTGCCAGGCTCTCCCTGATTGGAATACACAGCGAAAGGCTGGTCACAGCCTGGCCCCCACCTTGCTCCCTTTCCCCCTCTTCTCGCAGCAGTGCCTGGTGAAACCCAGCAGCTTGGGCCAGGACTCACCGACCGTCCTGCCGGCACCATGAAGCCTGTGCTGCCTCTGCAGTTCCTGCTGGTGCTGGGCCTCACACTGCAGCTGGTGCCGGGGAGCCCCAAGTATCGCTTTCAGAGTAAGTGCTGGGTCTGGGCCCGGAGAGGGAAGCAGGATCTGTGGAGAGGAGAGGGTTTGAGGGCTGACGGTCTGACACGCCTTGTGGAAAAATAGTGTCATGTGCAGGAGTCCAGGCTTCGTTGTCGGCAAGATCTAGGCTTGAATTCCTGTTCTGCTGCTTCCTGTGTGACCCTGGGCAAAGTGTCTGGGCCTCAGATTTTATCCTTATATTGGATATAATGATCTCAGAATAGATGCCCAATAGGTATTACCTACCATAAATAGTATCGGTCTCGTCACCCAGCTTAATCTCGCCACCCCTGGTTCCTTCACAGATGCTGGGTCCCACTTTTCAAGCATCAAAACAGAGAGGTAAATGAAGTTGGTAGAATTCAAGCTGGACTCTGCATACAGTTGGCCTTAGAGGATATTTTGGGAAGGAGGGAAAGAAGTCTTGCACTTTATTCCACATATTGAAAATCCAGAGGTGCTGAGCAATTACCCATGATTAGCATCAATGGGACAGTGGAGAGTCCGTCTCAGTAGCCACCACTGCCCAGCTCTAACAAGAGAGCTGGCTGCAGTGGCGTTGACCTTGACCAATACCAAATGGGAGAAGAACTGTTATTCATCATACACGCACTCTTCTGTGGGGAGAGCATCTTCAGAATACTGGGGGCTCAGAAGAGGGCTATGTGTGGTAGCTTACGTGTCTGGGGAGGCCAGGTCCTGTTTTAGATGTTCCAGACAGGGCATGCAGGTTTATAAGCAAGCTGCAAGAGAATGGGAGTATCCAGGGTAGAGAATTGGAGAATTGGAGAATCAAGGACTAGAATTTGAGGAGAAACACTTAGAGGCTTTCTGAAAGGCTTGTAAGCGCTGTGAGTGAGACTGAGACCAGATGCCCAGAAGAGGAAACAAAACTTGAGAAGGGTGACCCCTCTGAGATGTCTGACTCATGGCCTCTTTCCTCCATGCTGTTCCACTGAGCCCCAAGCTCTTCAAAGTGGGGACGGGTTCCAATTTCTTGCATTGCCCCAGAGGGCTATGGAATGGCTGGGAGGCCAGGAGTGAGTGAGTGCTGGTACTGGTTTCTGCCCATTGTCAACAGCTGCGACCTCAACTGCTTTCACACCATTTCTGGGGCCATTTGCTGTTACAATTATAGTCTCCACTCATTCTTCATTCCTTCCTTTCGAACCATCATGATAACCTATAGACTCCCTTCTAAATGCAAATATCTACAAAGCAGTGAACCAACAGGGGAGCAATAGAATGCCCCACCTTTGACTTTTGCTCCCCAAAAAGGGTAAGTCACAAGGTAGAAAATCGGGGCCTAGCAGGGCTTGGGGAAAGGGGTTAACAGGGCCCCATCCTTAGAGTTCAGGAACAGAAAGGTGACTTTGGGTTGGGGCCTTAGGACAGCATCTCCTGGTGGAGGTGGGTCTTAGCTTTCAACTAAAATACTTGGGGGTTGGGGAAAAAATAGGGTGTCAAATAAACATGTTTATTCTTTTCTAGTAACAATAGAAAGTGGGGCCATCTCCTGATCAGGAGACACCAAGGAAGAAGGAGAAGCTGAATCTTTTCACCCCATTCTGAAATCCCCCCCTTCTCACCATGAATGAAGTCATTCCCAGAACTTACCTGGGAATTGCATCCTAGCTCTCTGATCCAGTACCTTTGGTTTACCATGTGGTCTTCATCCTTTACCAAAACTTGCGTTCCACTCATTCTTCCTATACACATATAGCCCATGTTAGGCTGACCCCAGGGTAAAAGATATCGCTAATGAGAGGCTGTACAACTCGCTCAAGCCCACACGATGAGTCAGTGCAGAATAAATGCACAAACCTCTTTCTTGCTCACCACACATGCTATTCATACTCCTGAAATGGACCCAACCAGGGTCTATGGGGACTTGGCATCTGGCCCAGAAGGATGGTAAATGACCCAAGGGTGCAGAGTTCTACCAAACTCTGTCCTTGATCAAATATCCATGCCCTAGTGCCCTGCTCAGAACTCAGAGGAAGTCAGCAGCTAAGGACAAAGCCTGACCCCACCTCCCTGGGACCACACGAAGGAGATAGGGTGGCAGGTGTCCTAGCAGTTCCCTGGGCTTTCTGAGTTCCAAATGTTACTCCAGCCTGTTGTTCAGACCCCTCTCTTACCTGTTCTGTGTTCCAGAGTATATCTTGGAACCTCCACCCTGCAGATCGGAACCTGAAAACTGTACCTACTTGTGTACACTGCAGGAAGATTGCAAGGAAGGACTTCAGTGCTGTTCTGCCTTCTGTGGGATAGTCTGCTCATCAAACAAATTTCAAAGGCACGAAAAGTAAGGGACTTCTCATGCCCAATCCTGTTCCTAGATATGCTGGTGGGAGCCCAAGAGAAGAATCTCTTACCAGCCACTATGGTAGATTGATCTCTCTCTCTCCCCTTCTCTTGCTCTCACTCTCTCTCTCTCTTTCTCTTTCTCGCTCTCTCTCTCCTGTTCCCCCCTCATTGCCATGTTGCCAACATTCTCCTTCTCCTTACCGAGGATAATGTCCATGAAAGTCCTGATGAGAAGAGCTCTCCTCCAATTCTCAACTACATAGTCCTTGTGTCCCCATCACCGCACCCACGAATCTCTGACTGACTCTGCCTCTCTGAATACACCCACAAATGCCTCCATCCACAGACCTTCCCCTGTCCCCAAATCCCCCTTTGTCCCCGGGCCTGGGACACTATAAATGGGGCTGCAAGTATAACTAAAATTCCAAAGCAAAATTCATTCTCTGTTTTCTCTTCCTTTCACCAAATACCATCCTTGGCCCCCAGGGTTCCTGGGTTCTGAAGATCCAGCCCGAGGGGAGTTTTAGTTAATTCCCAGGCATTAGCACTAACCCCAAGCACTCCCAGAGTAGAGAAAGGACATTGAGATGTTGATGAGACATATGGTTTCTAATTGCCTTTTGCAACTATGTCTTTCTGTAACCTTGAATAAAACAATTCCCCTCTTTTTCACTTTCTTTTTCTCATAAATAATATGGGCACTCTTTTTTCCTGCTTCACAAGGCCCAAACGAAGTCTCAAAAGACCCATAGCAGGAGACTCAGCCAGTGAGCTTAATGAGGGAAGCCTACCTCCAGCTGTCTTGTTCTCTGCTGATTCCCTGCCCTGAGCAGAATACCCAACACGTAAGACAGGGTGCCGAGTGACTAAGTAAGGGCCCAGAGCCAAATACCTGGGCTCAAATCCTGGGTCTACCACTTCTTAGCTGAGTGACCTCAGACAAGTTAATTAGCCTCTCTCTGAGCATCATCTTCCTCATCTTTAAGCCTCAAGAAATAATCGTGAGATTAAATTAGATGATCCATGTAAGTTTTAAAACATTGCCTGTCACATAATAATTGTTCAGTAAATTTTAGTGATTAGACAGCCACTTCTCTCTCAAGAGCCTGGTCCTTGCAATTCAATTCCACATCTTCCAAGGCTCTGTTTGGAAGGCAGACACACCAATACGACTCTTTGTTGTCACTGAGTTCTTTGAGGTTCTTCCTTCCCGATGGCAGGAGAACTCAGCTTCACGGTCTAGGTTTAATGGTGAAAGTCATGGAAAGCAAAAATTATACCTCTGAAAAGAAAACTTCACTAGATAATATTCGAAAATATTTTTCTTCTGCAGGATCAAACCCGAGGGCCCAGGCACCAGGCCTGACAACTGAGACGCGTTTCCCGGAGCATTTTGTAGGTACGAGGGTTCAGCCTTCTGCTGTGAGATCTCCCAGGAATGCTCACTTTCCTCCTCTAGCCTCTCCAGGGCCACCGACATTCCCACAAGGTCAGAATAACCTTCTTGTCATCCAGATGCTGCCTCCTCCTCCATCATCCTCCTCCAAGGCTTTCTTTGCACTCCATGGGGCAGGGTGCAGTGCAGCGTGAGTTCTGCAAACAGAGCGACCTACGGAGGCAGAATTATGGCCCAAGGGGAACACAAGGCGCTCGGCTCTGAGGCATTGCCAGGGAACAGGCTCTTCCAGCTTCCAGGTTGACAGCACCCTGGGTAGGGAGTCGAGCTGAGCCCTTCACGCTCTGTGTGGCTGGGTCAGCTAGCCCGCTGTACCTCTCTGAGATAGTCAACTCCCACATGTGAAAGATGAAGACAACATCCACGCCTCAGGGTATTGCAAGGATAACACGAGGCCACACGGAAGGAAGACCTTGGTCACTGCAAAGACTCTGCAAACGTTAGATGCTGCCAGCAACTCACTTACGACGTCACTCTTTCTGGGTTCCAGTTTTTTTTCTCTTAAAAAAAGGGGTATCTTCTTTGTCACTATACTGATGTTACAAGAATGGTGAACAAAATGGAGTCCCTTGTAACTCCATCACCAAAACAAATATAGTATTCATAATTCAGTGGATTTTGTTTCAGAGTGTTTGGAAAAAATAATTAGGAGTTTCCAGTCTTCTAGAGGTCCTTTTGACATTACCAGAGTTTCCAAATTACAATGGTGGTATTTCAGTGCAGAGTCCTTTTATTAACCCCACACAAAGGAGTGCGATAAGTGGTAGCAGGTGGATGCCAGCGGAGCAGTTTAGGTGCATGAGCGCCGGTTTCAGCCTTGCTCAGGCCCTGGAGAGCCCGCCATGTTCACTTCCTGCTGCACCTTGGATATAACTGAGTGCTCCTGCCACAACCAGCTGCCAGTCAATGCATCAGCATCGTTAGATAATCTAGGGCCCATGCAGCAGGAAGACACTGAGGCCATAGTAAGAACCCAGGTGTTAGATTCAGGCAAGAGGCTAACTAAAGGTGGCTGGTGCAACTATATTTTTATTGCAGTGTCAAGGTTAAATGGCTGGGAGGTATATAAGCCTTCATAAGCTCCATTCCAATGCTTTGCCCAAATAGGCAGGACGTCATCTTGGACAGGCAGAAAAACACTGTCTTCTATGGGAATAGGCACCCCCACTCCTGTTATCTTCTGGTAGTCTTCATGGAGACTGCACCATTCATGGAGCACATTAACAGTAATGTCTGTTAGATCCGCATGCCAGAGTGTTTGTCCCCCTGAGCTTGCAGCCTGTCCTCTGCAGACTGGCTCCCCTGGACTGACCCCTGGTGTTGGCTGGGGGGGTCAAGTGAGTAGGAGATGGGCATGCTAGGGAGGGCCTGAGAAAATGCTCAACTTGTTCCTAGAAAATGCAGCACTGAGCTCTCCACGGCCTCCTGGAATACAGCCTTACCACAGTCTTCCACCTAAATCTTGGGCTCTGGCGGGTATGGTCAAGGGCTTCCAACTTTTTAACAAGAACTGACATTTTAGGTTATGACAGACTTCCTCTTGTTTGGTCCTCACAACAACCATAACACCTGGTTCACAGACAAGGAACGTGAGGGTCAGGGAGTTAAGAAATATGCTCAGCACAGCCAGCTGGTAAACGCTGGAGCTGGACTCCAAACCCAAGCTTCGGCCTGCCCGAGAAGTTTTCTTCTCCCAGAAGGATCTCCACTTGGGCAGCTCCACCCACTTCTGCTGAGTGGGGTTTCACCCTTTCCTGTTTCCACTGATGCACTTCCCCCCGCTTACAACTCAGACCTCATAACTCCTCGTTCCCCTTCATACTTAGAAACCAGCCCCACCAAACTTGGTCTCTCTCCAAGGCCCCATGCACCCACTCCCCTCTATACCCCTGCTTTTCTCTCTGCCCTGAACATCTTTCCCCACATTTCTGATGATCTCCAAGGTTCATATTAAATTAAAAACTGTGGAATCTTCACCAATTCACTCCAGACAGAATTGGACACTCTCCTCGTCTTTTCACAGTGCCCTGTCTTTCCCCATCATAACCTTTATCGTCCTGTCCTGCAATTGTTCTAGTTAGTATTTTCCCTTTCTAGACGATGAATCCCATCAAAGCAGGTGCTGTGTCTGACTTCTTTGCCAGAGAACCCTTAGCACCTGGTGCCACGCCTTACACATAGTAAGGACACAATTCAGATTTTTCAAATAGGGACAAGAAGAGACTGGCAAGGAATCGATTAATCCTAACATTTAATGAGTTGTTTTACAAAGAAAATCTTCACCGAAGAGTCCAGAGTCCTAGCTACTCTGGGACTCAGTCCAGCTCTGCCCTGCTGGCCTGGTGATGCTGGGCAGGCATCTCCTAAGTCCTCAGAACCCCAGGCTGTCCATCTGTAAAACGGAGATGAAGAATATCCAACTCTCAGGTGTGTCGTAAAGACAAAATGAGATGATACATGCAAAGCACATGCAAGGTGCTGGCAGAGAGTCTAAGAAGAATATTATTATTATCAATATTATCCATGGCTCGTCAATTCTTCCCTTGTCCAAAATTCTTGTCTTATAAAGGGATCACAGTGTACATTCCACCTTAAACTCTGGTTGGTTGGCTGGTTGGTTGGTTGGTTTTTAATTTCCCTGGGTTCCATATAAATTAACTCAAGTTAATTAAGACAAGTGCAGTGTTCTCTGATCTTCAAAAGATCTTTTTAAGAGGGAACAAGACATAGTTACAGAAAGTACTCCCTCCTTGAGAAATAGCATACTCCTCAACTCTCTGACCTTCAGGTTCCTTATCTGTGAATCTCATCCCTGATTAAACTTCATGATGAAGGATCAGCTAATTTAACAGAAATCTCAATTCCTCTACTAAACCTCTGGCAATTGTGGAAGACTTTGCTTCCCTCTGCAGATCCCATGTGAGTGTTACCAATTTGGAAAGTTGTGGTCCCCTAACCCCACGAGTCTACTTTTCTTCCAATTGCACCCCCTCTAAATGAACTTTTCCCGAGATTAATTTATCACAGTCTGTGTCTTATGCCTCTCTTCTATGGCACACCTCTAATCTGGCTAACTCCCTGGTAACCCCTGGCCCAGAGAAGGAAGCACTGTTCGGAAAAATCTGCAGGTTCCTTTTCCACCAGAAACTGATGATTTACGGTTCAAGTTGATTTGAGTGAGGCAGATCTCTCACATACAGGTCGGTCCATTCAAACTACAGCCATCGCAGTTTTAGCAATCTGAGTTTGATCTTCCCAGTGCTGAAGGTTCTGGTCATAAGAGGCTATTGAAATGTAAATTTATATTAATTACAATAAAATAAAATATTCAATCAGTTCCTCAGTCTTACTAGTCATTTCAAGTGTTCAATAACCACATGTGGCTAGTCGATACCATATTACACATCATAAATATAGAACATTTCCATCGTCACAGAAAGTTCTAATGGAAAGCACTGCTTTCAGCTACAGAAAGCTGATATCTAATTAATGATGGGTAATAAAAAATCATGACAACAGAGAACACCTTCTGTGACAACCTCACGTTAGACTCCAGGAGGAGTTTCACAGGGCTATTTCTTTAAAGGGTCACTAGGCATAGGCTGACAGCACACAATTGAGTGACAGTAGCTCTGTAGAGGTCCAACATGATGTAATATATGGATATGTTTAAAGAATCCGGAAGAATAAATGGACTAATGTTCCTCCCTTCACCTAGTCCCACAAGTCTACTTTTCTTCCAATTGCACCCCCTCTAAATGAAACCCAAAGACATCAGAAAAAATGAAATAGGAAGAAGAGCAGAAATTACTGAACTAGAAAACATACAACAGAGAAGACTCTAATAGAAGTTGTTTTTTGAAATGAGTAATCAAGAAGAAAGAAGAAAGACACACCAAAAAAATAATACCAAGGAGGAAAAGGGTCAGCACTGAAGATTATATAGATATCAAAGACATCATAAAATCTTATCTTTAACAACTTTATGCAAAAAAATGTAAATATCAGAAGAAATGAACTAATTTCTAGAACCAAAACTGACAACCAAAAACAATATTGGCCAGGTGCCGTGGCTCACGCCTGCAATCCTACCACTCTGCGAGGCCCAGGCAGGAGGATTGCTTGAGATCAGGAGTTCGAGACCAGCTTCAGCAAGAGCAAGACTCCCATCTCTACTAAAAATAGAAAAAATTGGGCAGGTGTGCTGGTGTGTGCCTGTAGTCCCAGCTACTTGGGAAACTGAGACAGGAGGATCACTTGAGCTCAGGAGTTTGAGGTTGCTGTGAGCTAGGCTGACACCACTGCACTCTAGCCCAGGTGACAGAGTGAAACTCTGTCTCAAAAATAAATAAATAAATATATAAACAAGTAGCACTACATCAAACTAAAAAGTTTCTGCACAACAAAGGAAACAAACAACAAAATGAAAATGCAACTTATGGAATGTGAGAAAATATTTGTAAAGGATATACTTGATAAAGAGTTAATATACAAAATATATATGGAGCTCCTACAACTCAATAGCAAAAAACAAATAACCCAATTAAAAAATGGGAAAAGGACCTGGATAGATATTTATTCAAAGAAGACATGCAAATGGCCAGCAGATATATGCAGAGATGTTCAGCATCATGAATCATCAGGGAAATGCAAATCAAAACCACTTAATATATCACATCATACCTGCTATTATCAAAAAGTCAAAAGATGAGTGTTGCTGAGGATGTAGAGAAAAGGGATCCCTTTCATACTGTTGGTGGAAAAGCAAAATATTCCAGCCATTATGGAAAACAGTATGGACATACCTTTAAAAATTAAAAATAAAACTACTATATGATCCAGTAGTCTCACTTCTGGATATTTATCCAAAATTATTGAAATCAGTATCTCAACAAGATATTAGTACTTCAATATTTGTTGCAGCACTATTAACAATAGCCAAGATGTAAAACAATCTACATGTACACAGACATATGAATACATTTTTTAAATGTGGTATATTCATACAATGGAATACTATTCAGCCTTTAAAAATAACGAAATTCTGCAGTATGCAACAACATGGATGAACCCTGAGGGCATTACACTAGGTGAAAAAAGTCAATCACAGAAACATAAATACTTCATGATTCCACTTATACGAGGTACCTAAAATAGTCAAATTAATAGAATCAACAGTGGAATGGTAGTTGCCAGGGGCTGGGGGGCGGGGGGAATAGGAGTTACTAATCAATGGGCATAAAGTTTCAGTCAAGCAAAATAAATGAGCTCCAGAGATCTGGTATACAACATTGTACCTATAGTCAACGACAATGTATGATACACTTAAAAATACATTAGAGGGTAGACCTCATGTTAAGTGCTTTTACCACAATAAAATAAAACTTGAAAAAAGAAGGAATAGGAAGTCTGAAAAACAAACCATTAAATAAGTTTACTAAATGGTAAAAATCCCCCATAGCAGAAAACATAAATCCACATATTTGTAGAAAAGTTCAATCAAATCTTCAAGGAACAAACCATTTCAATCTTACATAAAATCATCCAGAGACTAGAAATGACTATTTATCAATTCAGTCTTTGAGGCCAATATGGTCTGAGTGCTCAACCAAATGAAAATTACTGGCCAATCAAACTCACAAATTAGATGGAAAAGTCTTGCACAGCATATTAGCAAACTAAACTTAGTAGTATATAAAAAGATTATACACCATAGTCAACTTTGTCCCAGAAATGCAAGACTAAAAATGAGAAAAATCTATAAATCTAATTCACCCAATATCAAATTAAAGAAGATAACCATATGATTATCCCAACAGATAGAAAAATATTTTTATAAAATTCAAGGCCTACTTATTTTTGAATTTTTGAATTTTAGCACACTGAGAATATAAGGGAATATCCTTAACAAGATAAAGTGTAGCTATTTAAAATCCTATTGTATACATCATTCTTAAAGGTGAAACTCTTAAAAGCATCCTTTAAGACCTACAAAAAGAGGACATGGATGACCACTACACTGCTTCTATTCCACAATGTGCTAAAGATCCTAGCTAGAGCAATTAAGTTAAAAATATAAATTTAAAGCATTCATAATTGGAAAAGAAGGCACAAAACTATCATCAGTCAAAGATGATAATTACCTACATAAAAGGCAAAAAGAACCACATACAAATTATTGGAAATAACAAGAGAGTATAGGAATGTGGCTGGATATAAGATTAATATATAATATATATTATATATTTGTACACCAGAAAAAACAGAAAGAAATATGATGTTTAAAGATATAATTTACAATAATATTAAAAATATAAATAATATTCTACCTGCATGAAAAATATAAACCTTTCATGAAAGATATTAATGAAGATCAAAATAGGTGGAAAACTATATACCAAAAACAATATTAGGAAGATGTCATTTTTCTTAAACTGATCTGTAGATCCAATGCAATTCAAATCAATATCCAAAATAGGTCTTCTGAAGAACTTGACAAGCTGACTCTAAAATTTATATGAAAATACAAAATCCTAAAATAATACAAAGTTCAAGAGATTAAGTGTGACTTTGGAGCAGGATATCCAGTGGAGTGACACAAAGAGCTCAGAAACAATCCAACATATATAAGCAAAGTCACTTTATGATTGAATAAAAGAGGAACTTATTAATAAATAGGTCTGGGACTATTGAAAAATGAAAAAGGGGCCAGGCATGGTGGCTCATGCCCAAAATCCTAGCACTTTGGGAGGCCAAGGCGGGAGGATTACTTGAGGCCAGGAGTTCAAGACCAGCTTTGGCAACATAGCAAAACCCCATCTCCAAAAATATGAAAAAAAAGTTATCCAGGCTTGGTGGCACGCACCTGCAGTCCTAGCTACTCCAGTGGCTGAGGAGGGAGGATTGCTTGAGCCCAGGAGTTCAAGGTTATGATGAGCATGATCGTGTCACTAAACTCCACCCTGGGTGACAAAGCAAGGCAAGATCCTGTTTCCAAAAAAAAGAAAAGGAAAAGGAAAAAGAACGTTTATTTCATGCCTTACCAAAAAAAATAAACATCAGGTTGTTTTAGGATGCAAATGTGGACCAAAATTTCAAAACCTTTAGAACAAAACAGAGCCAAGGTGTCACCATGTTCATAGACCGTATAACATAGTGTAATTAAGAACATAAACTGTGAAGCCAAGTTCAAATCTTGTCTCCACCACGTAATATTATAAATGGGTGACCTTGGACATATAGCTTAACTTTTGCCTCAGTTTCTTCATCTGTAAATGATAATGATAATTGTACCTTCATGAAGAACATATAATTAAATGATTTAGCATATACAAATTACTTAAAATGGTTCCTGGAAAGAAATAAGTACTATAGGGGTTTAACTAACCCTATTACTATTATTGCTGTGCTTATTACATTCTTTCTAGTGTACCAAGATCAGTTTCTTCTCTGCTATCAAAAGGCAAAGAAGGGAAAGGAAGCAATCCTTTTTCAATTCTTTGCTCTGATGGCTCAACCCTCTGTGGTTAAATATATGCAGAAGCTCTGATCCTTAAGTTTCTATGGTTTCTAGATGAACATGGGACTCACTATCAGGGGTCTAATCAGTGTGGGACCTTCAGCTTCATGGCTGGGTACCCAAGCACTCACTGTTCAACTGAATACCTAGTAATGGCCAGTCTTGGCCCTTGGGGTAGGTGGGCTCAATCCTCTCAAGTATCAAGCACAAAATATAACATCAGTTGAAACCAAGACTATCCTGCCTGCTCCTTGCTGCACCATGAAGACTGCTGAGCTGGGATTTCTTCTAGGGTTCTTCATCTTCTACTCACTGACTACCCCATTATCGGGTGGTATTAACAGACTTATTGAGAAGATATGCAGAAGTCTCAAAGGTATGAAGTTAAGACAGGAAATAAATCCAATGATAAATTATGAGTGAGGGAGAAGATGTTGGAAAATAATGTGCTATCTAGGTGGTCCAGGAAGGTCCTCCTTCGTCCCTTGACTCAGGGCATTACTTACACCAAGGGTCCTATGGCTATTTGACAAGAAAAAAAAACAGGTATGATGCCAATATGTCCTTTCCAGATGGAGAGCTCTTTTATAGGAGGTCCAAAGGACTAGAAGTATTTTGAATTAGGGGTTTTGTGACAAATTTCAAAGATCCAAGACCATTCAAGGGTATGTATTGGGATGAGAGAGAAAGGGGGTTGGAGATTGAGCAAATTGAATTATTTTCAATATCTGGACTCTGGCACCTAGAGAACACTTGAACATAAGATTCCTGCTTAGAGGAGCTCACAAGGAAAATGTGAAAGGCAGTGAGACTTTCTTCCATAGATAGTGTATATACTCAGCATCCAGAAGAGGAGAAAGTGGCAGAGTCTACACCAGGAGGCAGATACTCCAAATTCTGGCCCTGTCGTTTAGCAGATGTGTGCCCTTGGACAAGTCACTCAACCACTTATCATTCTCTTAGTCTCAGTTTTCCTATCTGTAAAATGAAGATCAGAAAAGTGCCTGCTGCTGAGGGTGTTTGCGAATATGAAATAAAAGCTATACCCGTGACTTTGCCTAAATAGTTTTACCAGAAAGTCAATTCCAGACTGGCTGCTTGAGTAGGGTGGGTTACAATTGCTGAGTTGCCAATACAATCATAATTGTGGCTGTTCCAACCACTTTTTACCCAACTCTTAACAAAAAAAAACTGGGGGATTGCCTCTGGGAAAGCAAGAAGGGAAAAGATGACAGGGCATGGGGATGAACTAACCTTACTCCATCCGTGGTTATGATCTTGGCATGCATCCTGTTTTGAGAACAGCAGCAGGCAGTTACCCGAATTTTGAGGTATAAATAGTACAGTGAGTGTATAAAAACTAGGGCATGAGCATTCTGAATTGTAAGTCCTAAGTGGGCAATGAAAAGATGAGAGCATGGAGAAGCAGGAGGGTACCGCACTTTAAGAAATTGTAAGATGTGGGATGTAGGGGACCTCATCGCCCTGTACAAGCTAGTGGTGGAACCAGCCTTTCCACTGCTCACTACTTCTCCAAGACACTGCTCAAATCACAACCTGGAGTTGTAATCGATTTGCCTTGTGCAAGGGCAACCTGGCCAAGTAACTCTAATTCCAAGAGAAAACCAGATATCTTTCAGTGACCTTGACTATGGGAATGGTTCCAGGCTAACATGAGGAATTTTTAACGATCTATAAAGACAAGCCCTCCTGTCGCGTCCTAACCAAGTCTCCCTGACTCAATGGGAACTTCTCATGCAGATCCCTGTGTTATGGAAATGGATGCTGGCAGCTGCTTTGAAATTCACTTCAGATATTTCTACAACAAAACCTCGAAAAAATGTGAAAATTTTGTCTTCAGTGGCTGCGATGGCAACCTTAACAACTACAAGCTTAAAATAGAATGTCAAGTAGCCTGTGAAGCAGAATACAAACTACAGTAAGGTATCTAATCCTGTCCTTGGTCCTTTGGGGTTGGAAAAGAAGAGGCTCTGAGATCCCAAGACAGAGAAAATTGACCAGGGGCTAACCCTGGTTTGGGGTGGGAAGAAGGCGGGTTGTCCTAATTAAAAGGTTTGGCAATTGGGTTGGCTCTCAGGATCATTCACTCATTTTGCAGTCAGGAAATCAGAAGTCCAGAAAGAAAATAATAACCACCATCTATTGAGCAATTACCATATGCCCAGCACTGCACTAAGCAATTAACATATATTGATATAATTTAAAATTAAAATCATCCCAAGGTAGATGTGTGTCACTATTTTCATGTGACAGATGGGGAAACCAAGTGCAGTAGAGGTAATCACCCACCCCAAGGTCACATTATTCAGTGGCACAGCAAGGTTTGCCAGCGGATCTGACAACCACCCAGTTCTTGATCATCTCATGTGCACATGATCGCCCAAACCAAATCCTTGCCCTCCCAGACCTTCAGACTCCCCAGAGCAGCACGCTGTTTTATACAACCAAGCTCCTCGCCCACACTGAGCCATTTCCCAGTCATTGGAACTAGGTCGATGGAGCCTAACGATGCTGTGGTTTGGCCAATTCCCAGAAGAGTGAGAAGGAGAGTGGCCCTGGGAGTAACTCAAAAGCAGAACTTTCGTTTTGCTGATTATATTCCTAGAATCTTTGCAGTGCCTGGCACATAGAAGGCAATGACTAAGTTCTGAGTGAATGAAACAGTGAGAGAGAAATCGAAGGAACAGGGGAAACATTCAAAGAGAAGGCATCCTCTGGGCTTCCCCTGAGATTAAAAATAAAAGGAAAATAAACACCACGTGTACTCACTATTAAACTGGAACTAACTGACGAGCACACATGTCCACAGAGGGAAGTAAAACTCAGTGGAAACCAACAGGGGGAGGAGGGAGGAGGGGATGGGAGAAAACCCACTTAACGGGTACAATGAACGCTGTTTGGGTGATGGACACACTCATAACCCTGATTCGAGCATTACAAAAGCGATCCATGGAACCAAAAGCATTTGTACCCCTGTAATATTTTGAAATAATAATAATAAAAGCAAATAAATCAATAAACCACTTGGTAGACTCAAAAAAATGACTTATATTAATCCAGAGAGACATTACAAAACTTGTAACACACGGAATTTTTTTTTGCTTAAACAGGAACTGATGAGAGGACGTGAACTCAAGGAACTGCTTGATGCATTGTCTGAAATAAAGATGCAAGAAAATTCAGACCAATTTTGAGAACTTTGTGATGTTTCCATAATCTTTGAAACTTCCATCAGTTTGCTATTTTCCTGGTCCTAGTTTTGTCTTTCCTGGAACATAACTATATGACCATTAAAGTTAAAGAGGCTTCGTGTCAGCCCTGGCTCCTCTGAATTTTTCTCCTCTTTCCTTATTCAGACCTTCAGAGCTGAAATGTCACTGGTCTCATCTGCTAGTCCCTCCCTCACTCCTGTGCCATTCCTCATATATGCACACTTAGCGTAACTTAACCTAAACCATTTCCAGTTTGATAAGCTGAATTTGCACAAGTTTGTATCACCTTCCTTGTCCAATCGGACTGGTTAATGGAACCAAAGTACTAAACCTGTGCTCCCTTTTGGTCTTGAAATCAAACATAACAACAAACTTCACACATGCATAAAACAAGCACTATCTGAATCCTGCGAGGAAATTCTGCAGTGTATCAAATGGCAAGTTTCAGCATCAACCAACATATCTTAAATACAACGGCAGGTAAAATGGAAAAGAGGGAATTTCACTTAATAAGCAAGGAAAAATAGGTAGCATATTTGTGTTATTTCTTGTTAGGCTTGTAGCTGGTTTTAATAACATCTCTCCTTCAATGAAAATTCCACATCCCCCCATCTTTGGCCAGAACTTGTGTTGAGCTGGGTTCTTTACACACTGGGAAACTGAAATCAACAACCTAGACAGAAGAAATACGAGCTCATTGTGGGATTTCCTGGGTAGTTTTTTAGTCTTTCCATCTCTCAGGCTTTCATGCTTTCTAACTTCCATGAAATTTTACCACCAGAGGATGATGTACAATATATGTCCTGGGACTTCAGAGTTCCTTCAGTGAAGCATTAACCATATCCCCCTTTATAGTTGGGCTCATTCCCTTTAGATTTAAAAAAAAAACAAACAAAAAAACAAAAAACACCTTTTCTTGTTTTACCGGGTGCATAAGAATTACCATTGAGGTCACAAGTAGCAGTGAAGGAAGCTGGGGCAACACAGCAAAAAGCAGCATAACTAGGAGTGAAATATGCCCACAGTGAAATTGCTTGGTTCCGGAGAGACCCCTTCTTCTCCCTAATGGAATGCTACCGGGTACGTGGCTGCCTCAAGCATTTCTCAAGAACGTTCGATTATTGGTTTTCTACCAGACAGAGCAGAAAATGCAATCGCAAAAAATAAATAAAGGAAAGTTAATGACCTTCGTGGTTTCTGCCTCATATCTCTTTCATCTAAAGTTTCGCATTCTGTGCCTTCCACTGAAATGGAACGTCTCACTTTCTCCCCCCAGAGGCACGCAGTTCCGGACATTCACCGCCGTATTTCCACACGGCCATAGAGAGGCACTTCATGTAAAACCCAAGGTATCCGATATGCTGAGACATAGTTGATTCAACTCAACATAGCCGAGATCCCCTCCCACTTAGTTCTCGCATGACCCAGGCTTCTCTTTTTTTTTCTTTTTTTTCTTTTTTTCATTTTATTTATTTTAGAGACAGAGTCTCTGCTGCCCAGGCTGCATTCAATCTCCTGGGTTCAAGGGATGCCCCCCACTTCAGCCTTGCAAGTAGCTGCACCAGGAGAGAGAAATGCTGACTCTGTTGGAACCATGGAGCACAACACTTCCAGATTCCTTCCCAACTCTGAACAACGCTCGACAGAGAGAAATAAATACCAAGGATTTAGATTCTACTCTTCATCTGTTGGGTCAAGTTTAAATACTTTTACGTAAATTTACTATGAAAAACACAAAAGCATGAACCATATCCTATTTAGATCCTTATACCCAGAACTCAGCACAAAGTATGGCATGGAGGTGTGTTTGGTAATCGTGTATTGACTGTATTAATAAAGTGGAACAGTACCAGAACTAAAACCCAGATATGCTGAAATGTAACTTCAATTTCTATAACTGAACTACACTTTGCTGTTGTAGCCAGGCCCCTTGAGATGTCAGCACCCCAAAACTTTTTAATGACTGAAATAATGTAAAATTTGACTAGGTCCTTGTTTACTTGCACATGTTAACCACTAGCTTCCTGCCCAGCATCCCTCATTCTCACAATTATTAACTGCTGATGTACTGTTTCTTTGTCAGACAGGAGGAGATAACACCAGGGTCACAAGGACAATCTATGAGTTTGTTTTACGGAAGGAATGAATGTCCCTGAGAAAGGTGCGACTAGCTGCCGATGCCCAGAAGTCCGGTTATTCAAGGTGTCATCTGAGCAACACAGACTTTCCCCTTTGGTACCCTGAAATTCCCCCTCCCTTATCCCCCCACAATTTCATAACACAAGAAGCAAGGAAACATAGGTAGCTTTATTTGTGCTATTCAGTATAAGGCTACAGCTGGTCTTCATGCCAACCCTCTTTCATTGTATACCATAGGTCCCTGCCTTCAACCAGGATCCCAGATAAGCTGGCGTTTTCACCCTGGAGTGAATCAAACCTTCATTCCTGAGAATAAAAGATAGACCTGACTAGCTACTTCAAGTTTCTCTATTTCAGGTATTCTATTAAACTTTACTACTGAATATAACGGTACAACTAAGTGCTCTAGGGACCCCATCTGTAACCTTCACTTTCCCTATGGTGACACATTAACCCTGTTTTCCCTTGATAGTCAGGGTCAATCACTGTAGGCAATGCTGCAGCCCATTTTTCGTCTGTTTTCCTAGCCACATAAGCAGGTCTCACTCTTAGCTCCCAATTCAACAAGAGCTCCTTCCCTTTTGTGTTGCTTGATGGAAGTATTCCTAAGTTGCATACAACACCCACTAAACTAATACTGGCCAATATTCCCCACATTGAGATCTTCGATGTTTTTGATGGTAATACTAATCTTGGTAATTTCCCAGAAATGTGATGTTGCTTTGCATTTCTTATTTTGGCAGAGAGTGAGAAGAGGCAATATAGTCACCTCCACATGGACTTTCATGCCCCCTTACCATCCTAATTTCTAATGTCAAATGTCAATGCCAAGAATTCTACCAATTGCCTTTGACATTCTTAATGCGTAGTGGCTCTGGATAGAATCAAGAGTTTGAGGACTAGCTGGACTTACATAAGATCATTTTGACCCAGAATCATTTATTTTATGCCCTACTTAATCTCTCACCCTAAACTGTGAAGCAAAGTTGCGATAGAGTTTCTAGAAACTTACAATACCTCAACCCATTATTCCATAGTACCTTATGAATTTCAGTAGTTCTTTTTCCCAATATATATTTTCCAAAGAAAGTGAGGTTTTTCTCTAGGAAACATTTAGAAAACACATAGCACCCCAAGCAGTTTGTGTTGTGACAGATATTTCCCTCGAACCCTTTAGAGGAGAGACTACATGATCCAAAAGCAGGTTGTACTGTAACAATGTGGGAAATATTTATCTTCCTTATTCTGACATATGTGGTGGAAGTGTTGATATCCTTCCCAAAGGGAAAAAACAAAAGCTATTTTATGACTGAAACATACACAGACAGATATACTGCTTTTTCAAAATCTGTCTGAAATTACTTTTGTGAACTACAGTGATGTAAGTGATGTTAGGGATGTTTTCTTGTCCCTATAGCTCAATTTTTTGTTCGTTTGCTTGTTTAAGGCAGAATCTCACTCCATTGCCCAGGCTAGAGTGCAGTTTCCCAATCATAGCTCCCTGCCTGGAACCTCAAACTCCCGGGCTCAAGCGATCCTTCCTGCCTCAGCCTCCCGAGTAGCTGGGACTACAGGCATGTGCCACCATGCCCGGCTAATTTTTTCTATATATATTTTTTTAGTTGTCCTATTAATTTCTTTCTAATTTTTAGTAAAGACGGGGTCTCGCTCTTGCTCAGGCTGGTTTCGAACTCCTGAGCTCAAACAATCCGCCCGCCTCGGCCTCCCAGAGAGCTAGGATTATAGGCGTGAGCCACCACGCCCGGCCCCTCAAACTTTTAAATACATTTTACATCTGATCTTTTACTTTGCTCTCTTCTTCTTTTGTGAAATTTTTGGTTAATTAACAATAACTAATAAGTCCTGGGGAAAAAAAGTCTAAGAAGAAATCACAAAGTGTAACAGGCTGAATGGTGACCACCAGAAAAAAAAAAGTCCTTGTCGTAATCCCCAGAACTTGTGAATATGACCTTGTTTGGAAAGGAGGCTTTGTAGATTTAATTAAGTTAAGGATTTCAAGATGGGATCATTAGGATTATGTCTTAAATCTAATAACAATTGTCCTTATATCAGACAAAAGAGAAGACACACAGGAGTAGGCTATGTAAAGACAGAGGCAGAGGCTCGGCACTGTGGCTCACACCTGTACTCCTAGCACTCTGGGAGGCTAAGGCTAGAGGATCGCTTGAGGTCAGGAGTTCAAGACCAGCCTGAGCAAGAGTGAGACCCCGTCTCTACTAAAAATAGAAAAAATTAGGTGGGTGTGGTGGCATGTGCCTGTAGTCCCAGCTACTCCGGAGGCAGGAGGATCACTTGAGCCCAGGAGTTCAAGATTGCAGTGAGCTATGATGACACTTCGGCACGCTAGCCCAGGTGACAGACTGAGACTCTGTCTCAAAAAAAAAAAAAAAAGAGATTCAGCAACATACAAAAAATATTATACACCATCCAACAGAATTTATCCCAAGTATTCAAGGTTATTTGAACATACACAGATCAATGTAATGCACCACACGAATATAACAAAGGACATAACCAACACAATCACCTCAATAGACACAGAAAAAACATTTGACAAAAAATCTATCACCCTTTTATGATAAAAACACTCACCAAACTAGGAATAGAAAGGAACTTCCTCAACCTAAAAAGGACATCTATGAAAAACCCACAGATAACATAATACTTAGTGGTGGAAAACTGAAAATTTTCCCCCTAAAGTCAGCAACAAGACTATTTCCTGGTAAATTTTTCATCTCCTCCATGTTTGATTCTATCCTTTTTACATTTCTATTATTGAAGATGTTTATTTCTTATGTTTTTCTCAGCCATTCTCAGCAGGGTTTCTCTATTTTAGTGGTGTTTTTAAAGTATGAACTTAATTTTATTTGGCAGTTTTAGCGTTTCTTTTTTTTAATTCGTTAATTTTAACTACTATCTTCATCAGTTATCTTCTGCCTATTTTCTCTTGATTTATTTTGCTGTTTTTGTTCCAGTTTCTTAGTTAATTTACTCTCAAATTTTCATATTTATATATTAAAACATTAATAATCATTTATTTACAACTGTTCGTTATAGAGATGCTGATGTCCTGAGCTATAAGTGGTCATGATCCCTAATTGTGGAAGACAGAGGGGAGGCTGAGGTTCATCACTAGGGCTCTGAAAAACCATGGTCTTTCAAGCTACATGGCTGGATACCCAAGAACTTACTGTTCTGCTCACTAGACTGATTCTGGACGCACCAGAACCCTGCCCAGGATTGGGTCCTGCAGAGATAAAATCAGAGATATGGGTTCAACTCCTCAAAAGAGAAGGTGCTCCACACCCAAGATATAGTTTCAGCCTGGTCCAGGACTCTTCCATCTGCTGTCTGCAACACCATGAAGCCTGAATGGACCCACTTTTCTCTGTGGTTCCTCATCTTTTCCATGATCCTCCACACACTTTCAGGGGAAATGCTTCCTCTACCACTCAGAAAAGAATTGTGTGAAAGTGGACATCTTGGAGGTAAGGAAAAACAGGAAGGGCAAACCAGGAGAACACTGTGAAGGAGAAGGAGGTCTAGGCAGCCTGGGTGGTGTTGCTGCCAATAACCAGGATCGAGTCTTCTTTTTATTTCAAACCATATGGCTCTTCTCTCCACGGACTGGAGAAGGAGAAAGACAGAAAGTAGAAGACTCAAGTTTTTACCAAGGGATTTCAGTCCCAGAGGAGTAGGGATTATGAAAATAGGATTGATGTCAGAGGTGTCCAAGAAATTTCTTTATTGGGGTGTTTGTGTGTGTGTGTGTATGTATGTGTGTATAAAATGAATTTCATTTCTATTCAGCACATATGTATAGGACCACTGTGTTATCTTCCACTGATACAGAGATGTAGAGACCATCATTCACATGTGTAGGGCATTCCCGTTCTACTTATTTAAATTATATAATTTGTTCTTGATTCAAATTATAATGAGCATGTAGGAAACACTCAGGAGAAAAGGGGGCAAATTCCCAATTGTGGATAAGGACTGTAGTTGGACTTCAAGAAGACTGACAATATCGCCTTCTTTGCCTCCAACTTGGTCATCATGGCTCCTGCACTAACCACCTACCTCCATGGTCTCAGTCAAACCAGGTGAGTCTGGATGGGTAGGCAAAAGGGCGAGCTGGCTGTAGGCATTTTAAGCCTCTCCTTCAGGGTAGGTGTAGAAGGCGAAAGGTATTTATGGCTTATGTGTTTGCAGAAACTCTGGGCTAGGGGAAAGGTGGGGAGTGAAAGTAAGGGCTTTGAGCTGTGTCCTTGTGGGAACAGATGAGATGTTCAATTCCAGTGACATGGGCAGCGTATGGAGAGTTAGGAGAGGGGACACATTTACTGTGAAGGAGGAAGACTGCAAAGGCTGGAGGGAGCCTCAGGTCTTTCAGCTTTCAGCTCTAAGGTGGTACAGCTACCTTGTTGTCCTTCTCCAACAATTTCTCTGTGTCATTGACCCAGGCTATAGTCTAGAATCATTGCCCCATATCACATATACCGTGAAATTTATGCTTAAGGAACTCTATCTTGTTCCCCAATGACAAAATCGGGTGGATTTACATGGGTTGATGAACTTTAGTAGTTTGAGCCCACGAGGAAAAGAGTGCCAACAGTGCAGCAAAGAAGATCTGACTCTCAGATTCTCGTACACAGAATACTGCAACTATCCTCCAGTGATGGGCAGCTGTAAGTTAATTTTGACCAGATTCTACTACAACACTTTGACATTTTTGTGCGAGCCCTTCATCTTCTCTGGCTGTGGAGGCAACAGAAACAACTTTAAACATAGATATATCTGTGAACAATATTGTATTACTAAACAGTAAGTCTCTCAGTACCTCACCCCACCCCCAATGACACCAAAAACTAGGGGTCATAGTTTTTCAGGAAAAAGAATGTGATAGACTAGGGGAAATGTGCAAGGAGGCAAGAAATTATACCTAGGTTAGGGACAGTCAGTCATAGGCATAAATTTCAGTGTCTTGGATCACTTCGTTCAACAACACTCTTTTGAAATTGTAAAAGTTAAAACCCAGCCAGGCACAGAGGCATGCACCTGTAGTCCCAGCTACTCCGGAGGATGAGGCGGGAGGATCGCTTGAGCCCAGAGTTTGAGACCAGCCTAGGAAACACAGCAAGAGCCTCATTTCAAATTAAAAATTCAAGCTCAGAGAGACTAATGCCTTGTCTAGATTTACTCAGGGGAAGGACATGGATCCTAGCTCTCCACTAGCATCTCAGTAGTACCATGATGGCCTTAGCACTTGGAGATCCTGTCCAACACCTTGTTGTTTAACAGTTAAAAGGAAAGCCGTGGGAATGTCAGGGGAGCAGGGGAAGACAAGGATCATGGTTTGGTATCTATAGCGGATGTCTAAACAATGGTCTTACACTCAAGAGCAAAGACATCACTTTATTAATTTGTATATCCTCAGAGTCTAGCATTATACTTGCTCATTAATATTTTATGAATAGATGTATGGATCAGGAGGGATATTAGTATTAAAGACAGCTGTGAAGTTATGCTGAGATGTTAAGGACCCAATCAATGGGTCCATACCAATGAACTAAGTAATCACTAAGTGTATTTTATTAACAGGGACAGAGGTCAAGCAGAACCACCGGCGGGTTAATATGGCAGAAGGAGGAAACAAGGAAAAAGGAGTATTCTCTATGAAAAACTATGCCAAAATAATCTTGAGTAAATAAATTGGACTATTTCTGGAAGATTTTTGAATTCGGACTTCTCTCTAATTTCCTTGCCCAAGTTTACCTTTCGTACTGATTCACACAATTTTAACTGAAAATTTCCGGTATGTCAGCTCTGACCTGAATTCATTCATCTCTCCCATCCTAGATTCTTCCAACATAAACTACAAATGACCTCTCTGCAGGCACCCACCTATCCATGTAATGAGTCAATTTGTGTGAAGGTTATTATTACTGATATCTCCTTGGCATGACTTGCCAAAACTGAGTTTTTTTCTGCATTTTGTCACTGGCTCCAATGAATTTCCATGGAAGAGGCACCAAAATAATCATCATTAAATTCTTTCACTTGCCCCAAATCAATGCACACTCAACCCCCAACAATGCTCATATTCTAGGGAAATATCTCTGGCGTCCCAGGTGCCAGAAATACAGAAATTGTGACTTTACAGCTGGGAGCTGCAAGTCTTGAACCAAGGTAAACTTCTACTATCGGATCATGGGGGGGGGGATCACTCCCCTCTGCTCTGACTGCTCTATTCATATTCTTATCGAGGACCAAGCCTCACAAACAAATCTATTGATATGAATGCCCACACCAGTATTCTAAGGGCCATAAACAGTAGAGTAAACTGTAGCCCAGGATGGAACCACTTGTGGGTATTTTAGCTCAATCTCAACACCAGCAACCCCTGATCCTAGACTATAGGCATAACCTTGGAGAAATCTTGGGAATTGGCAAAAAGTATGGGTTAAAGATACCATCTAACCCATCTCTCAGGAATTACTCCTATGCAAAAAAAAAAAAAAAAGGACAAAGGACACAAGAAGGTTCTGGTAGCCTTGAGTTATTGGGTCAAAGTGTGGGCCCCTAGAACATGCTGTGTCCATGAAACTTTGTTCTGGGGCCTTAATGTCATGGAGTATAACTTACCAGGTGCCCATTCATGGATTCTGAAGATTTTCCTTCCTCTGATTATTGTGAAACACAGTGTTATACAAATAAGACTCAAGTGCAATTTCTTTGAAAATTCTTTCAAAACTGTATTCTAGTCCAAAGAATTACTATAAGTAAAATACTCTCTGGAAACAAAGAATTGAAGACAATGACAATCCAAAGTTCATCCTAGTTTTAAGTTTTCATATTTCTTCTGGGCACTTGAGTAATTGCCCAAGTTTCCTTCTCACTCAGTCCTAAATTTGCCTCTAAGACAAAGGTATGTGTGTGCTGTCTGTGGTGCTGAAGGAAGATTTTCACAAGTGCCCACAAAGATCAGTAAGGCACACAGAGCTGTATGTATTCTGCAGGCCTTCACACAGAACCACACACCCAAGGACTAACACCAGACATAAATCCACAAGAAGCCCAAGTGGGTTTCACATTAAATTCAAGTGAGATATTTTGTGGAAACCATCATTGATAAAAGAAGAACAATGTAAAACTAGGTCTTAAGGTACACACCAAAGACAGAATACTGACTCTGGTCCCTTCCCCTGAGTCATATCTGGTCACTAGAGAAAATGAAAGGAAAAGAATTATATATGACAAAGAAATTAAAAGTCATTTAAGGCCAGGCACAGTGGCTCACGCTTGTAATCCTAGCACCCTGGGAGGCCAAGGCAGGTGGATTGCTTGAGGTCAGGAGTTCAAAACCAGCCTGGGTGAGACCCCATCTCTACTAAAAATAGAAAAATTAGCCAGGCGTGGTGGTGTGCACCTGTAGTCCCAGCTACTTAGGAGGCTGAGGCAGGAGAATCACTTGAGCCCAGGAGTGTTAGGTTGCTGTGAGCTAGGCTGATGCCACAGCACTCGAGCCCAGGTGACAGAGCGAGACTCTGTCTCAAAGAAAAAATAAATCATTTAAGAATGATTCTTTGGAGTTCCAAGAGCTCCAAAGAGAAAGAATTTGGTGGAGCAGACCTTGGGATGGGACACAAAATTTGGCTGTCATTCAAGGGATACTCAGTGCATTTTGACCTCACATCTGGATGCAGAGGAGTTCCTGAGAGGAGACGTAAAGATGGAGAAATCTCATCATCATCACAAAGACTCTCATATCTTCCCCACCAACACTTCCATTCCATCCCTTGTGCGGGAATAAACACATTGGGATAAAACCTCTAATCCTTCCCAAATCTGGCCTTCAGTGGGTCTGGTGGATCACTCCCTCCTAATTATTTCCCCTCCCAATACCCTGACACCAATCCCAACCTGCCAGAGTCTTCCCATCAGACTCATTCATGCTCTGATCATTTCCAAACCTCTTTAATTCTACCTCTGTTCCCAGAATAATTGTCCTCAAGTGCCATTTCTATTTTTCAGGCCCTTGATCTAGGATATGCAGTGTCTTAAAATCTTAATTCTACACAATATCCAAGTTCCTCATGTCTGTCTCCTATTATTACTCATGTTGTTCTTTTATCTCAACTTCACTAATCTTTTTGTCAGTATCATGGATATCAAAAGCAGAAAGTGACCTAAAAGATCATCTAGTCCAACCCTGACCTAAGAAAAGAGGGTTTCAAAAAGGAAAGGAATGTTTTTAAACGAACATTCAAAGAATTCTGGTTCTGGTAATAGCAAAATAGTTTATATCAGACCAGCTATTCCACAAGTTAAAATTATAATATCTCAACAAAATATAAAAAGTAACTGCCTTACGGCATTAGACCAGCCTAAGAAAGAGTCAGACCCCGTCTCTACAAAGAATAGAAAAATTAGCCAGGTGTGGTGGCACACACCTGTAATCCCAGCTTCTCAGGAGGCTGAGGGAGGAGGATCGCTTGAGCCCAGGACTTCGAGGCTGCAGTGAGCTATGATTGCACTACTATACTCTGGCCTGGGCAACAGAGTAAGACCTTGTCTCTAAAAAACATTAAAGTATTGCTCTGAATAAACACACAGTTCCCATCTTTGGCTCCCATCTTTGACCTACTCAATCAAAATATCTGGGGTGAGATTTGGGAATCTGCACATTGACAAGCCCACTCAAGGATCTAAAACCAGCCTCTGACAACCACTAATCTAATTTCCGTCTCTATGGATTTGCCTATTATAGACATTTCATATAAATGGAATCATATAATATGCGACCTTTGTGACTGGCTGCTTTCACACAGCATAATGTTTTCAAGATTCACTGGTGTTGCAGCACGTATTAGTACTTCATTCCTTTTTTATGGCTGAATGACACTGTATGGATAGATCACATTTTGTTTATCTGTTTATCAGTTGATAGATATTTGGGTTGATTCCACCTTTTAACTATTGTAAATAGTGTTTCTCTGGACATTTGTGTACAAGTTTTTGTTTAAACACCTGTTTTCAATTCTTTGCGGTGTTATGTATACCTGAGAGTGGAATTGCTGGGTTTTTTGGTAATTCTATGTTTAACTTTTTGAGGAATCACCAAACTTTTTACTTTTTAATGTGGCTGCTAGAAAATCTGAAATTACATACACAGCATACACGGCTCACCTTATATTTCCAGTGGAGAGTGCCACTCTAGATGTTTCTTTCTGCCCAAGAAGTCTACTGAGACGAACCTCTCATTTACGTTTACTCTCACCTTTTTCCAAACAGGATGCAGGGAACTTAATACTATAAAATAGACGACATGAAACTGAAAAGCATTAGACCAAGAGTGAAAAAGAACAGAGACAAGTAACAAAAGAAGGTGGCAGGAAGCGATTAATTTTATCAGAGAAACTGAATAACAATAGTTAACGTTTATCGAGGGTGCATTTTGTGCCAGGCCCTGTGCTGTTTCCCTTATATATCGACTCTTCACGGCAATACTGCGAGGGAGGTAGTGTGCTCATGCTATCGACCCCATTTTGCAGAGAGGGAATCAGTGGCAGAAGAGTTTAGATTCAAACCCAGGCCTCACTCCAAAGCCCAGGCTCTGGGTATCTTGACAGCCAACGCGAGGATGAAACCATCAGCTCTAGAGAACACGTACCGCAGAGGCTCATGAGACAGGCGATGCCCAGTAAGTTGTTTCCCTGCCCATTCTCAAGTTAGTTCATAGAGAGAAGCTTTTTCCTGACCTTGAGTTCCACAAGGAATTTGACCCTGTGGCCTTGAGAGAGAAACATCGACACAGCATGATAGACAATGTCCCCCAGATAAACGTTACCGGAAAGGAAGAAGCATGCCGCATCACATGAAAAAGGAGGGCATAATGTTGGGTCTTAATGTATTAAGTGCAATTCAGCAGGGACCTAGGAACTCAGACAACAGATAGAAAACTTTTCCTTTAAATTCAGTTCTGGAATGTCATTTCTCTTTCCTGGAAACGGTCTATAACTTAGATTTCTGCTGCCCTCTGGTGGCTCTGAGAATAAAGTGCCCAGCAAAGAATTCTTTCCACGCCCATGGAGGCTTGCTCCTTCATTCTTAAATTTGTGGATCTGTGTGAAGCTGATCTTCTCTGCACCAATCCCCTTGACAAGAGGACTTAACTGGGTAGTGAAGGGAAGAAAGCCCTCAACTCAAAAGCAACCCCTTTACCAAGAAGAGGAAGCCTGGAAAAAAAAAAAAGCAACCCCCTACCGGGGTACATGCTGAGCCTCCCACCCTTCTCATGCCACATACCTCACTTACCAATGACATTATGCCCCACCAGGGAGAGCAGTGAGATCCAGACAGCAGCAGGGAGAAGCTGCAGGAGCCCACGGTATTGCTGCGGCTGGGGGAACACAGGGAGTCAGAGATTTCTACAACCAGTTGGTCGAAGAGAGGGACGGAGAAGGGAGGAGCTGTGAGACCCACTGGCTCTGGTCAAAGAACAAGTCCTTGCCAGCCCATGCTGGAGCACTGGCCAGTAGCAGAGCCCCAGACATTCCTGCCCACTGTGAGGAAGCTGAGGATCAGGGAGGAGGAGGAGTGTGGCTTTTCAGCCTGATCAGAGGCTAATTTCAGGATGCGAGGTTAGAGAGCAGGACCAGGGTCCACTGAGACCTGCTCCCCAGAACTAAGGCTGAAATGGACTTAAACTCTGAGAAGGGTTCCGATGGCTTCTTTGGTTTAGGGTACAACTGTCGAGAAAGCTGCCCAGCAAGGCCTGGGGGTAGGGGCAAGACCTGGAATTTGGACCCATCTCAAACCATGACCTTCAGCTCCAACACAACCCCAAGTTCAAATTCAACCCTTCAACATTCTCTCTCTCCCCCTCTCTCGCTCTCTCGACATTGCTACCTGTAAGCAGGTCAGCAACGCCCACCTGGACAGAGTGGGCTGCTCCAGATGAGAAGGGCGGTCTGAGGGGCCCCTGTCCCATTGCCCAGCCTGAGCTGTGCCTGGGGCTCACTCCTCCCTCTCCAGTCCTGCTCTCCACCCTGATAGAAAATCATCCTATAGTATTTTAAGGTGTTGTTTTTCATTGAAAGCTCTACCATACTGATTTTTTAAAACTACGTGCATGTAATATTAATACTTTGATTTTTTTAATAAACAGTGAAATGATAAGCAAAACAGTGGAAAGGGATCTGCCAAAACGTTCAGCAGTCCATCACACTGATATCGGCCCTTCCCTGCAACGTGAGCCTGGGGCCACGGATGTCCCTGGGATGGTCACTGCGAGGCTCATGCCAGCCACTGTTTTCCAAGCAACATTGACATGTCTACTCAAAGAGATGACTGTTCTGAACCTAGCAGAAACCAGAATTTCCTATGCCAGTGTGAAATGAGAGACAGGGAAGAGGGCGGGACGCAAAAACAAACTAATGACAGGAAATGGGGGTGGGGGTTGTTTTAAAGTTATACCTCACCTTTTTCCAGTAAAGCATTTTTATGATATTCAAGAGTACTGGTACCTACTTTTTTCCTTTTTATAGAAGCACTGCCTACCTAGGGATCTCAATACAAATTTGAAATGCATGAGCCCTTTGAGCCAGTATGGGGTAGGCAGTTTACTGCCTTCCTACCCCAAAAGCATCCTTTCCTTTTTCCTTGCTAATAGAACCTCAATTTTTATGTCCAAGTAGGCCCCTCCCCCACCCCAGGGGTGAAGCATGATTAACCTAAGCCAGGTTTCCCGGCAGATATTTGCATTCTCAACCACCCTAAGGCAACTCCTGGGAAAGAAGTCATTAAAAGGAGAGTGCCACTTGAGGTAAAGGTCTTTTGCCACTGACCTCTACACACATCTTCTTCCTGCAGTGACATCTAGAGCTGCAGCAACCATTCTGTACCCACGGGATGAACAGCACAAGGACAAAAGCCAACACCTTGAGGTTGATGGAGAAGGAAGGAATGAGCCTGGTTGTTGGGGTTGTGGTTGAGCTGCTGAGACAGCCTCACCCTCCAATGTGAGAAAATTAAATGTCTTTGTTGGCTAGACCACCATGAGTTGGGTTTCCTATTACTTGCAGCCCAATGAATTCTTAATTGATACATTAAGGAATTACATTCATTCTTTCACTCATTCAACAAATATTTACTGAGTAAAAACAAATATTTTTTACCAGGCTCTACTTAAGAAACTGGACTTCTACTACTAAAAATTTACCCAGATTCACCTGCAAATATAGGTCAAGATATATATGTACAAGGATATTAATGTCCAACAAAGCCAGGCATGGTGACCCACACCTGTAATCTCAGTGCTTTGGGAAGCCAAGGCGGGAGGATCACTTGAGGCCAGGAATTCGAGACCAGCCTGGGCAACACAGCAAGACCCCATCTCTACAAAAAACTTTTTAAATTAGCCAGCCATGATGGCACATGTCTGTCGTCCCAGCTACTGGAAAGCCTGAGGTGGGAGGATCGTTTGAGCCCAGAAGTTCAAGGCTGCAGTGAGCTATGATTGCGTCACTACACTTCATCCTGGGAGACAGAATGAGACCCTTTCTCTAAAAAAAATTTTTAAATAAAAATTTAAAAAATTTTAAATGTCCAACAAGAGATGAGTAGTTAATTAGCCCTTTCACAGAATTATATTAAAAGAATATATATGTAAAAGGAACAGGATTGATAAAATTTTTAAATAAAGAAATAATAAAAGAACATATGTGATAACATGAAAAATCTCCAAGATATAGAATACAATCCATTTTGTGTACATAAAAAATAAATTTTAAAAATTGCCTTTCCCAAGAACCTAGGGATGTCCCTTCCCTGCATAAAGATACCTGGAAGGGACAAATTGCTTGTCTTAGAGACAAGGGCAGGCCCTCAAGGAAAAAGGTCCAAGGTGGGAACATTCCAGCAACCAACTCCTATTCCACTCCCAACCCACATCTCCAATAAAAGAAGGAAGTTCAGCAGGCCCAGAAAGAAGGACTGACTCCCACCCCTGCCCTGGCATTTGAGAAAGACATCTATGGCAAATCACCCCCAGTTTAGCTTCCACCCCTCTCTCCCCTGGCCACACCTAACCAACACCCATTTTCAGTGTTCTCAGAAAGAATGGGTTACCCTTCCTTCCTAAATATGTAAGTCTCACAATCCTACAGCCACACTCAGACCTCCCAGCTGTCCTGTCTCATCCGAGCCCTCAAACAGCACAGACCAGAGAGAGTTAGCACCAGCCTTTATTGGGGAAGAGAAGCCCCACACACCCGCTGCCCAATCCCAGCGCTGTTTCCTATGCCGCAGGCAGCAACAGGAGAAAAAGCAGAGCAGAAAGGGCCGTGAGTGCTCCTGGGAGTGTCACAAGCCCCAGGATGTCACCCTCTCTTGGTCTCCAGCACAAGCCCTCTGAAGTTACCAAAGAAGCTCCGGACAAATCAGTACAGCTAGGGCACTGGGCTCTCTGCAAGCAGAAGAAATATCAAGTCAACTGTGCCCTCCTTGCTCCAGCCGCTCAACACGTGTTCTTTCCCCTCCACCCTAGAGAAGCTCGCCACATATTGCTCTCAAAAGCCTTAAATGGCTCCTTCTTCCTAGACAATCCAATCCAAACAGGGATTGAAGACTCTTATTCGGTTGTCAACCTTATATCTCCTGTTATAAAAAACAGGGGCTATGTCCGTTCTTTTACCCACCCTTTCCTGATCTCCCACTCCCAAAACATGTCACATACATTCCCACCCTCTGTGTCATAGATAACAATCACCAGATTACCTGTCTGGCACATTCTCTGTGCTATTCTCACTTTGACACATCGGCCTAGCCTTTAGGGCCCGGATCAAATCCCATCTCTATCACAAAGACTTTCCCAGGGAGCCACACCCACTCTGAACTTCCGTAAGCCCATACTGTTTGTATGAGGGTTCTGATCTGTGACATAGAATCTTTCTCTCCAGATAGACTCTTCTTGACCTTCAAAAGTCCCCTTCCCAGCACCTAAGCCAGTGCTTTGCACATAGCAGTTAATAACAACGGACTGTACTCACCTAATGCAGAATCAGACCTGATGGTCCAGTTGGGGTTCGTGGTCAGTTTGGGTGGCGGGACTGGCAAGACACAGAAGCGGCCACAGCCTGACTTACAACACTTTTCCCCAGCTTGACAGTTCTCATCCATCATGCAGCTGACAATGCACAAGCCAACCAGAACTTTCGGACAATCACCACCCCGCCCTGCAGGAAAAACAGGCACGGGTATAGGGACAGGATGTCGGCTCCACTTTCTCCAAGTTCCCATCTAGAACATCTACAACTTAGACACAGAAGCTCCAGGTGAATCAACCCCTGACCCTAACTAGACCTTAGCCAAACTGGCTGGGAAACCATGAAGCTAGAGGATCTGAGAATCTGTAAGGGACCCAGGAGACCTCTAAGCCAAGAGTTTTCAAATAGTGTCCCAAAGGGAGTTCACTAGAGGTAACTCTGGGGTTAATAGCCCTGCAGGTTTGGGGATGGGGCTGGGTGGGGTGCAGAATGGGCAAGGCTCCCAGACCACCACCCTCTCCCCCTATGCTTAGGCTTCACGGTGTCACTTCCTCAAGGAGGTCTTCTCTGCCACCCCAGATGAGCTTGGTGCCCCTGCTTTGTGCACCTGTGGCACTCTGCGTGCCTCCTCTCATCAAACTGTACCAGAATTCATTATTTAACTGTCTATCTTCCTGATAGGCTAAAGTTACATAAGGACAAGAGTCTGTCCCCAGCACCTTGACCATTGCTTTGGAATCTAAAAGAGGACTAAGATAACATCTGGGTCAATAATTCTTCAGTGGAGTTCCATAGTGCTTGGCACAAAAGTAGTATTCAAAAATATACGTGTATTTTTAATTGAAGAAACAAAGAAATCGGAACAGGAATGCTTTCATCTGTTACATATATGTTGCTTCCAACTAAGATTTCATTTAGGGTAGGGGGAAAGCTTTGTGCTAAAAAACTAGGTCTGAAAACTAGTGATCTTGGGCAACTCCTTCATTTTATAGATGAAGAAACTTGGGCTCAACAAGAGGGACTTGTTTATTCAAGATGACAGAGCAAATCCGCAGCAGAGTCAAGAGCAGAAGCCACACTGCCTGTTGTCCAGCCTAGGGGTCTTTCCTACTGCCCCGCGCTGCTTCTGTCTGTTTCTTTCAATGCCAACCTGGGCCCCTTGGCCCTAGTGGAAGGGGTTGCTTTGGGTTGGGGGACTAGAGGAACAGGAAGGATGAGAATTATGGCCCCTCCCAAGAAGGCAAAGAGAAGGTGCCATGGGTGGCTCCCTGATGGGACTTAGGAAGTGCTCAAGGACCTCATCCCACAAGAGCAAACATACCTCCTTTAATGTCTCCACGGCAGACGTGGCCACAGCCGGTGCTGCAGCATTTATGCCCCTGAGGACAGGACGTGTCCCCATCACACAGCTCTTCACACGGAAGGGGGTCAGCAGGACATTCACCACCAAACTCTGCCACAGAATCAAAGCATTAGAGCCCAGAAATGCTCCAGAATATGAAATATTTTTCATTGTGTCCCATGTGTATGTTAAGATATATATTTTAAAATGTACACATTTATGTACATCGTGTATATGCAATGCACCCTGATGTGTTATATTCTATTTCTCTTTTTCTAATGCTGGCCATAAACTACTAAACTGATTTCGGGACTCACAGTTTGAGTCTAACCCACTATGGCAAACATACAAATTGCCAACTCCATGTTCATTCTCCCTTCTTTCTTATTGTGGCGGACATTTACAATCCTGCCCCCCAATGAACTACACCTCCTGAGATTCATGCCCTTGTGTAGTTCCCTTCCATATTGACCCTGGGCTTGACCATATGACTAACTTTGACCAATGGGACATTAGCAAGTGTGATGCAGGCAGAGGCTTAATAAGCACTTGCATATTGGGCTTGTCCTCTCAAAACAATTCCTCTTAGAAGCCAACCACCATGGTGTAAAGCAGCTTGGGCTAGAATATGGAATGTTGAGATGCCCCATGGAGATAGAACCTGGAGGAGGAGAGGCCAACCTGGACATCCCAGCTCCAGTAGAGCTCCCCACTGACCTCCCAGCTGAATGCAGCCAAATGAGTTACCTCATCTATACCATGTGGGTATATGAACCCCCCAGCTAAGCCCAGGCAACCCACAAAACAGTGAGAAAGAAGATATTGTTTTAAGCCATTAAGTTTGCAGATGGTTTGTTATGCAGCAATACATCACTGAAACATTTGTCAACAGAACCCTAGGTTTATTCTGAGAGGCAATGAATCCCCACATTCTCTTGTATCCAGGGCTGACCACAAACTAGGACATAAACTGGGGAAACTTTTGTATCCCTGATACAGGGAATACCCCTTTCAAACTATCCCCTCACTTCTTTCTTCTTCCAGTCCAAAGACAGACAGAACACAGAGAAGTAGAGCAGTCTTCTTTCAATGAGGTGACAACTAGCATGAGGACAAAGTCAAGAATTACAAAGAAAGGCCAGGTGCAATGGCTCATGCCTGTAATCCCAGCACTTTGGGAGGCCGAGGTGGGAGGATTGCTTGAAGCCAGGAGTTCAAGATCAGCCTGGGCAACATAGCAAGACCCCATCTCTAAAAAAAAAAATTAAGAATTAGTCAGAGGCCGGGCGCGGTGGCTCACACCTGTAATCCTTGCACTCTGGGAGGCTGAGGCAGGTGGTTTGTTTGAGCTCAGGAGTTCTAGACCAGCCTGAGCAAGAGTGAGACCCCATCTGTACTAAAAAAAAAATAGAAAGAAATTATCTGGACAACTAAAAATATATAGAAAAAATTAGCCGGGCATGGTGGTGCATGCCTGTAATCCCAGCTACTCGGGAGGCTGAGGCAGTAGGATCGCTTGAGCCCAGGAATTTGAGGTTGCTGTGAGCTAGGCTAACACCACGGCACTCATCTAGCCAGGGCAACAGAGTGAGACTCTGTCTCAAAAAAAAAAAAAAAAGAATTAGTCAGGTATAGGGGTACACATCTATAGTCCTAGCTACTCAGGAGGCTGAGGAGGGAAGATTGCTTGAGCTCAGGAATTTGAGGTTGCAATGAGCTAGTGAGCTATGACCAGGCCACTATACTCCAGCCTGGGCAACAGAGCAAGACCCTGTCGCTAAAAGAAAAAAGAAAATGAAGAAGAAGAAAAGGAAGAAGAAGAAGAGGAAGAAAAGGAAGGAGAAGAAGAAGAGGAAGAGGAAGAAGAAGGAGAGGAGAACAAGAAAAGGATTACAAAGGAGAAAGAAAAAAAGCTTCATCCTTGTAATTTCTCATTTGCTGTGGACATGACCATAAAAAAATTTCCCACTAGGTTTGCTATGTGCTACCTTGCTAGCAATCAGCTGATCGGGAACATTTTATCAACCCCTTACTAAACTGTTACTTGTTTTACTTTCATTGCCTAGATGAGAGCACTGTCTAATAGAAATACAATGCAAGCCACATGTGATTTTCTAATAGCTATTTCATTGGTAATCAATGAGATTTTAAAACAGCCACATTTCAAATTCTCACTAACCACAGTGCATACCTAGATCTCTTGAGCCTTGCAAATGTGTTTTGCCTTGCTAATTCACATTGTAAGCCCTCTGGGTGGCTAATAACCAGGCGGTTTGTATGGAGTAGAGCTAACTCAGGGAGGCTGGCTCCAGGACTCATTTGTGACTCACTGTATGATCATCTCTGGAACCGTAAACTTACTGTTATATTATTGTTATGCAGGCCCAATAGGACAACAGGGGATTAGGCATATTAAAAAGGGCTATCTTCACTCCAGTTTTAGAGGAACTAACATGATCTTGGTGGACAGTGGAAGTAATCACAACATGTGATATTTCTTGAACAGGAATTTATTGACTTCAAATAATTTTGCCTAAGGTTACACACAATTTTTTTAACTCTTTACATTGTTTAAAAAAGATGAAGAAGAAAGAACGAAAAAAGAAATAGTTTCATCCTTGTTAACATCATGGAGCCACCACACCAGCCCTGGTACCTACTTCAGGATTTCTTGTTATGTGAGAAAAACAAACCCCTGTATAGTTAATTTTCTGTTGTGTACAGCCAAACACATTCCTGATGTGCCCCTTCATCAGCCCTGTGAAGATAATGAGACTCAGAGAAGGATCTTGCCCAGAACTACAGAGTGAGTCAGCGACAAAGCGCAACAAAACGCAACCTCTTGATCTACAATGAAGTAGTCTTTCTACCATGACTATCTCATCCTTAAAACATGCAGACAGCTGGCCAGGTCCTCAGGAGCAGGCACACCCAAAGAAGGCCATATCCAAACCAAACTGACTCACCATGACTCATTTATCTCAGTGTTTATTTCAAGTTTTTTAAATGAAGAGAGAGGTGTGACAGACAATTAAGCGTTTTGTGGAAAACCACAGCAGTACTGGCCCAGTGCCTCTGAGCAGGAACAGGTAAGTGTAATTGCACACAGCTGGCTCCAGGAAGTCTGCCATGATGGAAAAAGCAAGTGCTGGACTCCAAGGAGAACATACGCGGCTAAACAACTGAAGTGTGATAACCCTGCACCCTGCGATTTTCCTGAGCAGCCCCTGTTTTAAATATCCTGTGCTATTGTGAGATCACATCAAAACCATGTGTCTTGATTTTTGATTCAGAAAATCTGATCACTGTAACCACCAGATGCATCTCCCTGCACCTCCCCACCTGCTTGACAAACACTGAAATCTATTTAACAAAGAACAAAAGCCTTGTATCCCACAGTTGAGAAAGCTGGGCATAAAAATCTCCCTGATGGAGAAACCCAGTGACATAAACTTCTCATGGAGTTACAACATGTACCCTAGAAAGTGGGGACCTAGAGCAGCACCATATTCCCCAGATCGCACCATTTTGCGGAGCTTGTCCCTGAAGTGACCAATGCCAGGAGCACTGTGCTGCTCTCTGCCCTCATCCCTAGGACCAGGCATAGATACCTCACCCTTATTCTCTTCCAGGCCAGACTTCCTTGATGTCCCTGGGGTTTCACCAAATTTCAGAAGCAGTGAAGGGACTCTCTGGGGACAGGCTGAGGCCCTGAAGGTCACAGCACATTCCTTTTGATCGGTGCCCAGAGCAGCCACCCAGTCCAACACCCTGTCTTATGCTTGAATCTCTGCTAAACTCCCCTTCACTTAGCTTGAACATCTGGAATTAATGGGGCCTCACTACCTCCAAGCCAGATTATGCCATCCGTACACTTAAGTTAGACAGCCTTCATACTCTATTATACTCACCTGAAATCTGGTTCTGTAGAAGTTCTATCCAATGGTCCTTTTCTTATCCCCAGAGACCTTGCAAAAACCTGGCCCATGCCACCCCTTTAGCCAGGATCCTCTGCCTTTCACCGCCTTGGCTTTGCCAGGCTAAGTAAGCTCAGCTTCTCATAAGGCATGGCTCCCAATCACCTCACAGTTACCTTACAAGCAACCAGGATGAGAACTAGGAGTGGTAGCCAGAATGGGGATAGTCATCCCCACCCTCCAACTGCACCCATCCGCAAACCTCAAGCTGTCACCAAATAAGTAGGGAGGCTGAAGCCCAGGGAATACACACAGTTTTTCCTGTTGCCTCAGCTCCAACCTTCCACTATATCTGAGAGAAGGATACCAGTTGCTGGCAGAAAGTGAAATTTCAGGTCTTCTTAAGCCAAGAAGGGCCCTCTGAACTATCAAACCTACTCCCCGTCTCTTGCAAATGGACAGACAGACATCCAGGAAGGGGGAGGGCTTGGTCCAAGGTCAACAGTAGCAGAACAGAATCCCAAACCCCCAGCTCCAACACGAGGTCTTATGCTCTTCAAACCACATTATGACCCCCTACACTCCAGCAAGAATCACCCAAAAACAAACCAAGAAGCGCTAGGACTCACTCAGCTCAGTTTTGCCAAAAGAGAAGACCCAGTGGTAAGACAGTTTTAGGGGAAAGTTATAAACCAGTGTGTCAAGGGTCCCCAAGATCACTCCCAGGTTTGGTGGTTCATTAGGAAGACTCCCAGGACTCGGCATATGGTCGTACTCATGGCTGTGATTACAGCAAAAGATACAAAGCAAAACCATCAAAGGGAAAAGTCCAGAGGAAACCAGGTGCAGGTTTTCAGTGTCCTCTCCCAGTGGAGTCACATAGGATGCACTTAATTCTTCACAGAATTGTGAAATGTGTGAAGTGTTGTCTACCATGAAAGCTCATTAGCGACTCAGTGTGCAACATTTTTATTTAGGGCTGGTCACTTAGGCACCCTCTGCCTAGCACGTACCAAGATTCCAGGCTTTCAGAATGGAAAGCAGATGTTATGTTTGATCATGGTTTAGGCACACTGAGCCACTCTTATCAGTTAGGGTAGTAGGAACACTCCCAAAGTCCAAGTTCCCAAAAGCCAGCCCAGGGCCAGTCTTGCCAGCAGCTCTTTCTAAGAATAGCAGATTCAGCCCTGCTATGTTAACTCTTTTCTGTACAACCAGCAGGAAGGTTTCAGAAAAGGGTCAGTCAGACACACAGGGAACCCATACCATCAATCTAGACAAAAGATATAGTGCATATGTTGTAATAAGCAAAATAGAGGGTCACAGGGGATCTGGAGTGGTCAAGTTTCATACAGGGGGGAGACAGACCATTGGGGAGGGGTGCTAAAAAGACATATCTTAGGCCAGAATCTGAATCTCCACTCCAAAGTCTCTTCCTCCCAGGCCGTTCCATTCTCCATAAAGAGTACCACCATCGCCCAAGTGCTCTAGTTGGACACCTGGCACCATTATTTTTTTTTTCAATTGTTTTCTTTAGAGACAGGGTCTTGCTCCATTGCCCAGGCTGGAATGCAGTAGCATGATCACAGCTTACTGCAGCCTCAAGCTCTTGGGCTCAAGCAACCTTCCTGCCTCAGTCCCCCAAGTAGCTAGGACTGCAAGCATGCAACAGCACCCCTGGCTAATTTTTTTATTTTTTGTAGAGACAACGTCTTACTATGTTGCCCAGGCTGGTCTTGCACTCCTAGCCTCAGGCAATCTCTGGCCTCAGCTTCCCAAAGCACTGGGAGTATAGACATGAGCCACTATGCCCAGCCAGTGGCACCATTCTTGACACCCCCTCTCCCTCAATGCCTGCGGCCACTTACTTCTTCACCCAGTCCCATCAGCTCTACCTTCACAAGGAGTCCAAGCCTCCCATTTTCCTATGTCTGCATTGTCTCCACCCTGGTCTAAGCTCCGGTCATCTCTCACCCAGTCGGCCATAATGGCCTCCTACCTGGTCTTCCATTGTCTACACTTGCCCCCATCTATTCTTCACACACCAGTAGAGGGGACTTTTTCAAATGAAAACTGGACAAAGGCCTCTTCTAATTTTAGACCCCCTTAAAAGCTTCCTATTTCTCTTAGAATAAAGCCAAAGAGAGAAGCCCTGAAGACCCCTACCCAAAGTCTGGGCCCTGCCTGCCTCTCCAACCTCAAATGAAAGCACCCTCCTCTTTTCACTTCCTTAAAAGCAATAAGCTCTTCCTGACCTCATGGCCTTTGCCCTTGCAGTTCTCTCTTCATTGCTCTCCACCCAACGGCCAGCTCCTTCTCATTCTCCAAGTTAAAATGGCATGGCCTCTGTATTTCCCTTTTAATTGCCTTCACAGCACTCACCCCAACTTGTGATGATTATTTACTTGTTTACTTGATTATTTCCTGTCTCTCACATCACAAATGTGCATACCCTGAGCGAGCTCCGTGAGGGCAAGGACCAGGACTGCCTTGCCCACCACCAGACATGCTCGTGCCAGGTAGGGTAGACACTCAATATATACTGAATACACGTGTAAGTGAGCGAGTGAGTGAGTAAATGGACAGGTCAGACTTCAGAGAAGTGGGAAGTGAATCTGAAGAGAGGTGCTGGGCACAACTATACGAGCTATTGAGCATTATTTGGCAGGTTTAGTGCAGACTTTTTAAATGCATTTCTTCTAAACTGCATCATTACTCTATGAGGTAAATATCCTTATCCCCATTTTACAGATGACAAAAGCAAGGTTCAGAGAGAAGAAGGGACTTGTTCAAGGCCATATAGCAAGCAAGCAGATGAGCCAGGATTCCGGCCCATGTTCAGACCAGAATTGCCTCATGAGAGGAGGTCCCAGCGCCTGCCCTGTGCCCTTAGGCAATCTGACTGCCCGGCCACCTTGCCAAACAGACCAGCACTGGCTGTGGCAAACCTCTGACAGTGTCAGAGGTTAAGGAAAGCAGGAATTTTTCATAGCCCAGGAAGGAGAGCTTTGAGTGAATGGCCCAGCCCTCCCCTAGGACTGGATTTGTAGAAAAGTATTTAACTACCAACACAGCAGCCAACATCGCCTCCCACCAGGGAAGGAATCCCGCTCAGCCAGCAGGATCTGAGACATCTGAAGATCACTATTCGATCCTGCCTGTCTAGCTCCAAGGGAAAAGGAAGCTCCATCTGGGCTGGCCAGGGGCCAAAGCAGCCCACAAAGGTACCACGCCTGGGTGCCAGCCTCGCCCTCAGCTCCCGCAATTCAGCCATCAGCTTCAAACACTGGGAAGATTGTACCAGGCCCTACGAGCCAGCAGTGAGTGACCCGCCTGAGACAGATTCCCAGGCTTTGGCTCCAGAGCTGGGGCCTCAAGGGTCCCGGCAAGGAGTACAACCTTCCATTCTTTCTTATGGACAGGCTGCCCAAGACAGCTGCCTACGCCCGGCACAGACAGACCCAATGGGTACTGGGAAGGGGCCTCCTACCTGGGGAGCTTTAGTTGTAAGGAAAGAGGTTGTTACATGTTATGGAGTTTCAGGGTCTCAAGAGGAATTGATCAAAGAAAACTATCCTGGTTCTGGATAAAAGGGGTTGGTTAGAAACTGTACTCCTGACCCAGCCCACCTTAGGAGGCAAAAAGAAGGAAGCTAATGTAGCTGGGGGCCATACGCTTTACACACTTTGAATCATCACAACAACCCTCTGGGGTTTATTTTTCCCGTCTTACAGAGAAGGGAAATGAGGCTCAGAGAAACTGAAGAGACTTGCCCAGGGACCTGCTGGCCAGCAACCATTGAACCTCAGGCTTGAACCCAGGTCTCTAACAACCTAGACCTAGGCTTTTCCACTCCGATATGCTGCCACATGCACTCAGATGAGAGAATTGTTCCAGTTCTTTTAGACAACATAATGGAAGACCCCATTTAAGACAGCAGAAAAGAAAATACCTAGGCATAAGTTTATAGAGAAATATTTTAAAACTATAAAACACCCTCAAATATATCAAATACACTTGAACAATGGGAATACATGAAGATTCAATAGTATAGTAATGGCAGCTCTCCTTAAGTTAATTTATATATAACATCACTCTAATGAAATAGACAATGATAATAAAATATATTTGAAAGCACAAATAAGCAAAAGTAGCCATAAAAATCCTGAAACAAGAGGAGAATAAGGAGGGGTTAGACATAGAAGATACTCCATCAATTTCTAATACCTTTTAGGGTTCTCTCAAGGGAATGACGAAGGAGGAAAGGAATAGAGCAAAAAGCTCTGTCACTTGTACCTCCAAATGCTCAACTGCGTCACATTTCTCCATCCCCAGTGCCACCTCCCCAGTCTCACTGGTCTCCATCCTCACCTGGCTTCATTCTCCCCCTCCCATCTCTACTCTAACCATACCAGCTTCCTTTCAGTTTCTCAAATGCAGCAAGCTCCTTGTCATCTTAAGACCTCTGCACGTGTTTCTGTCTTCCTGGAATGTCTATCGAACCCTTCACCTGGCTAACTTCAACTCCTCCTCCAGAGTACAGCTTAAATGTCACCATCCCAGACATGCTGTCTTTGACTACCCAATCTAAAGTGAGTCTCATTATTCCACCTCTCAGTACATTTTACTTTTCCTTTGTTGTGCTTATCACCGTTTGAAATTATATATTTACATGCTTATTTGTTAAACTTCTTTCTTCCCCATTAGACTATGAGCTCCATGCAGGCAGGGATGGGATCTACTTTGTTCACCACAATGTACCCAGAATCCATCTCTGGATCTAGCAAATAGTAAACATTTAATAAATATTTGTGGAAGAAATGAATGTACAAATGGAGAATTAGGTCATTGGAACTCTGCAAGAGGGAGGAGTCCCTTTCAAACACCTCCCTACCAGAACCAGAATAAAATAGACTCCATTTCCAACAGGAGATGGCCATCCTGTGTGCGTACAGAGGGGACACAAAGTTTCAGAAGCAAGTGAGTAGGGAAATGTGGGCTGTCTTCCATAGATATCAAGATTCTATTTGTCTATCTCTGCAGATTCTCAGGCTAAGATGTTAACAGAGAATATGGAAACTGACAATGGGAAGTGGGAATTACCCGACAACTTTAAAACTTGCCTACAAACAAGCACCACATGTACTCACCATCAAACTGGTATTAGCTGATCAACATTTAAGTGCACATATAAGAATAATATGTATTAGATGTTGCGCAGGGGGAGGGAGGAAGGGGAAAGAGGGGATGGGCATATGCACAAACAATGAGTGCGATGCGCACCTCCGGGGGAATGGACACACTTGAAGCTCGGACTTGGGGGGGAGGGAGGGTAAGGGCATCATACATAACCTAATCATCTGTACCCCCATAACATACTGAAATAAAAAAAAAAAACTTGCCTACAAATAAGGATATGCTGAGATTGCCCTTGTGGCACCCTCCTCCGCCTCCCGCAGCCACATAGCACAAACCACCACGACTTGGGTGCCCTTTGCACGTTCTTTTTAAAAGTTCTCAGAATATAGCAGGCACTTAATTATTATTTTTTCAAAGTCAAGTAAAACCAACAATAAGATGATGTGTGTGTATTTGAGAAAGAAATAAGCAAGTCAAAAGGACCACGGGGTACAGGGATGGGGTTCTTATCTGGCTTCTGTTTAGAAACTGGGACTACACAGCTCTTGTTGCAGCCAAATGTGCAGCATTTCTTTATGCCCGGACATGTCTCATCAGTGATGCATCTTTTAAAATAGAATTGTTTCTGAGCAACCCTGGGACAATCTCCTTTCCTCCCTGTAGCAAAAAGGGAGATAGGCACAGAAAGGAGATAACAGTGCCCAGTGACACTGAAAGGCACAGCAGAAGGGGAAAACAGAGGAAGGAAGCCCTGAGCTTCATTTAAGCCTGTCAACCCTGGTGCCAAAGCAAAGAGACAATAACAATAACAACAACAATAATAATAGCCAACATTTACTGATGTTTACTTTGTGCCAGGAACATATCATTTGATCCTCATAATTATCCCCATACTACAGATGAGGAAACTGAGGCTAAAAACTTAAGATTTAAAAAGAGCTGTTTAAGGCTTATTGAAGGCTTAAAAAGGTCTGCCTGGCTCCAGGGTCTACCACTCTTAATCACTATCTTAAATAGGTTTCCCTTCACAACTCTGCCCTCCAGCCTTCACAGGAATTTTGAGTCCAAAGTAAAAGACAGTCAGTGGTGTGTTCTTTCCTGATAGAAGGCAAAGAACTGGGGGCACTGGATGATTAAAGGAGAAGTGACCCCAAAAGGGGAAAGAAGATGTGCTGTAGGCAAGCAAGATTTCAAGAGCCAACCTAGGAGGTAGGAAGCTCTCTGCTTCTATGTATCCCAGAGGCAAGGTCAGAGAGTACACTAGGATTTTGCCCCTCATGCCAACATACCCTTACAGAATGTCTCCTTTACAGAAGTGCAGCACTTCTGCCCAGCTGGACACGATGCATCACCCTTGCACAGCTCTTTGCATGGGTACTTATCAGGAGATTCTCCCTCTTTCACTACAAAAGATAGTATGTGATCTTGGGGTGGCTGGCTAAGCCTCAAGAAAAGGGGAATGGAGGCCAAATGTACTTTAAGGACCTTCAGCCCCTCCAAACATTCCTATCCACAATATCTCTGCAACCACCTTCCCCTCCTACCACAAAACTACTAACACATATCTACACTACTAAATAACTAGCCCTTCTGAAGATAAAGAGAGAGAGAAGAGTTAGGGGTAATACTATTCTTACTTAAGGAGCTCTAGGGAAAAGCTAGAACCTCTGGTAAACCCAGCTGGAAGTCCTATCTCTTTGTCCAGAGAGGATAAAGAAGGACCTACCCTGGATGTCCTGAGACTGTATTCATCTGGTCCTATCCTACAGAGATGATCATCTCTACAAACGAACAACCTCGCTCTGGGAGAAGGCAGGGGATGACTTCTCCTCTAGTCACTTTCAGTTACTGTTAGCCAGTGACCCCAAATGACAGCTCACCATGTTCTCCAGCCGTTGCCCAGGATTCCAGGGACCGAACAGCAAGAAGTGCCTTCAGAAGGAAGAGGCAGCTTAACATCATGATGATGCTGAGAACTGAGATGAGAGTACAGGTCAAGCCAGAGGTGTACACCTTACCCAGTGTATCAACCAAGGAAAGGGCAGGACTGGAGATTGCCCTAAACCCAGTCCCAAAGTCTCCCCTTCCACAATATTCCCCAAGAATGTCTTCTCCTAACATGAAGAGTGATTGGCTGCTGGTGTGTGGAAAAATTCCTAGCACTACCAAAGGGCACATGTGATGGGGTGATCAAACTCTGTAATGGAATATACACAACACTCCTGGACAACAATGAGGAACCTGTTCGGTAGCTGGGAAAATAGGGGAATGGCCATTGGATAAAGGCCAAAAAGAGCCCTAAAGGGTGTTAGAAGGATATAGCTGCAGCCGAAATGACAGAGGGAAGGACTAGATAAATGTCTTAAGAAGAAAATAGCCAATAAAATAACAAAAACATAATAATATTGTGGCTCCTGTTCATCCTAGCAACCTAGAAAAGACAGAGTGGAACAGACCACTTACAAACTATCAGAAAAAAACTACAGAAAAGTAGTATTTAACTTTGTTCAAAACTAGTACAGCTGCACCAAAAACCTACATCTTGGTGCCTCTAGCCCACACAGGCCATTCTTGGAACGGCTAGTTGGCAGAACCCAAGAGAACAGTTGCTATGACTCAAATAGTCTTGCCCATATATATGCTTTTCTTTTTATTTATTTATTTGGTATGAGCTGCTAACTTTATGCTTTCTTTCTATTTCTTATTTTTGTCTTCCCTGTTCGTGTCTTTAGTCAGCCGTATCCATTGGCACTGCTTAGCCCTGTGAAGTTAAATAGCAGGGGATAGTCAAGGCAAAAGGTAAAAACCTCCTTTATAGAGCCAAAGAGTTTGGTGCCAAGAAGTTGCCCTTATTGTTATAAGGCTGATGTTGGAGAATGGAGATGATTAACGTTTGCTGATGACTTAATATGTGCTTTATACACATTATTTATTTTAATCCTCACAATAATCTTGCAGAGGTAAGAAAACTGATTCAGAGGGGCTGAGAAAAAATGTCCGTAAGTGGTGGCCACTGGAATTTCATAATAGTAAGGACAGACAGTAATGTCTGAGGGTTTACTGGTGCCACTGTTTTAAGCCACTTTACATGAATTAACTCACTTAATCCTCACTGCAACCCTATAAACTAGGTGCTATTATCACCATTTTACGGTTGGGGAAACTGAGGCACAGAAAGTTTAAGAAACGTGTGTTACACAGCTAATAAGTGGTAGAACAAAGGCAAGCAGTCCATTTCCACAGCCAATGTTCTTAACCACCATACCATACCATGCCGATTTGAACCCAGATCTTTCTAACTGCAAGACTCATGCACTTTATACTACTCCATATTGTGACCTGGTAAGAATAACACTCTCTACGACCCACAAATGGATCCAGTTCTATTCAGGGATGTCTTACCTCTGAGACAGAGCTAAGGGGACCTCTGGGGAACTCCACAGCTGTTAAGCCCCTGCACCCCCCAGCCCATCCCAGAATTACCCGTCTGGGGAGAGAGGCTCAGCTCCCTGGGGCTGGGAAAGTCCACCAGCCAAGACCCAACCTTCATTCCGATGCCTTCAGACACAAGAGGCAGCCCCTGGGGTCAAACCCTGGAGAGACCTGGTGGATGAGTGTTTGAGATGGTACGAACCAGCACCCCCCCGACCTTGTTGGGTTTCCCAATCCCAGCATTAGGCCCGCTCCAATTCTGGGAGCTGAGTGCCGGGCATATTAAAATCTACAGTTTTCAAAGACTGAACTACTGGTGCTGCTGTACAAACAGCTCCCCTCTGCTCCCCAACCCCAGCCTGTGGAAACCTGCTTCCCGGCTCCTACCCCACACTTATGCACCGGCCTTGGTCCAGCCGGGAACGGCCCTTGACTGAACCGCCACTGAACAGCCACACCACACCGAGGCACAGCCCTTGCTGGAGGACCTGACCACCCCCACACAGGGCGGACCCGGCGGGAGGCGGCGGTTCGGTTCCCATGGTAACCCTGAAGTTTCCCAGCGTCGCGCTTCCGGGCCGGCACGCGGCGCTCTCCAATGACGTCACAGCGTCACTTTCCGGCCGGTGGCAAAGTCGGGCTGAAGTTGTAGGAGCTCGGGGCGCCATGGGGGCTACTGGCGACGCCGAGCAGCCGCGGGGACCCGTCGGGGCGGAGCGGGGCGGCCTCGAGCTAGGGGATGCGGGCGCAGCGGGGCAGCTGGTTCTCACGGTGAGGGCGCCTTCGGTGAGGCCTGGGCTCGGGCCGGGAGGCCCTCGGGCTCCCGGGACCCTGGCCCGCGGGCGAGAACTCGGAGGCTAGTACTGCCCAGAAGGTTGGCGTTTTCGCCGTCCGACGACCTGGCTTCAAATTCTGGTGCCGCCCTCCTAGCTAGGTGACGTGGGCCAGTTCTGTCAACCCCCTGAGCTCCGGGTTCCTCTTCTGTAAAGTGGAGAAAATTAGTACTAGCCTTATCAGTTGTTGTGGGGATGGGATAATGAAGCCGGCTAAAGCGCCCACCCAGCACGTCACCTGCCACTGAGGAGACCCTCAGTAGACACCGATTCCCTTACTCCTGCCGTTTCAGAAAAGGTGGGGTTGGGACTTTTGAGGCAGGAAACTTCCTCAGTTCTTCATCCCTGGCAGGGCCTTACAACCGCTCTCCTCCCACCTACCCTAAGGTAGGAAGGAGGTGGTGAAAGGATCTGAGAATCAGGGATGCCTAGCTTTAACTTCATAGTCACCCACCATCTCCACCCCACCCCGATGTCACAGGCCTCAGTGATATTTACTCCCTTGGTCCCCACAGAACCCTTGGAATATAATGATAAAGCACCGGCAGGTGCAGCGAAGGGGACGCCGCTCACAAATGACTACAAGGTAAGGCTGGCCCTGGGTCGGATCCTGGGCACTGGCTTTGGGATCCCCACTGCTCAAGGCTGAGGAGATCTACAGCCTAGAAAGAGCACAGGAGTGACGAGGCTCAGCTTCTGTAATTCTTCATAACTCTTATGTGACCCTGAGCAAGTCACTTCCCCCTCTGAGCTCATGTACAAAATGGGGAGGGAAGATGAAGACAGGTTGTGGACTGGACAGTACCTGAGATCCTAACATTCACTGGCTCTGTGGCTGAGAGCTCTAAAGAGGTCAGTTAGCATGGAAGTTAAGAGCGCAGGCTCTGGAGTCTGACAACTGTGTTCTAATGACTTTGGAAAAACCACTTAACCTCTCTGTGCCTCTGTTCTCACCTGTAAAGTGGGACTAATAGTAGTATCCATCTCAGGGAAGGGAGAGAGAACAAGATGAGCCTTTGGGATGCTTTTATATTTTTTGACCTGGTTAGTGATCAAAGGGATATTCACTATAATTATTATTTGTTCAAGTATATAGACTTTTCTGTATAAACATTGTATTTCATAAAACACTTTGAAAATAATACCCACTTCATAGAGTTATTATGAGGATACAGTAAAGACGTGCATCAGTATGATTTGCACAGACTCTGAGCATATAGTTAGTTTCCAGTAAAAGCTGTCTAGTATTGTTGTTAAAGGATTCTTTGTCAATAATTGTCTGGGCATACTGGGAAAGAATATTCTGGGGACATGCCCCCTGACGCTGTCTCCCTCCTAAATACAGTTTCACAGATCCTGCTATCTCCATGGATCTCCTCCGAGCTGTCCTGCAGCCTAGCATCAATGAGGAGATCCAGACTGTCTTCAACAAGTACATGAAGGTGAGAGGGACACAGGAGAAAAACTAACAGGGAAAAAGACTCATGGGCAGCCCAGTGTGCTTCCCTCTTCCCCGCATCACCAATATGTATCTATCTGTCTTGCTCTCATGCATATCTAAAGTTTTCCAACTCTGAATACCCCAAGAACTTTTTCTCCTCTTCGGGGGTAATTCGAATACCTTTTTTGCTCAGCTATTGTGAGGACAAAGTGACTTAAATGTAATATGTTTGGAACATAACAAGTGTTTTTATTACTTGTTTAATAATATCACCATTATTGTTATTTAAAAATTCTTTTGAGCCTTAAGTAAACTTCTTCATAGCTCTACCTTGAATGTCCCATGCATGTTTCAAACTCAGCATATTCAGAACTGAACTCTGTTTTTCCTCCTAAACCTCCTCCTGTTGTATTTATTCATTTATTCAAGACGTATTTCTTGAGTGACTACCATACGGCCAGGCATTATTCTAGGTGCTGGGGATATAGCATTGAACAAAACAGATGCTCTCTTTAAACAAATATGTACTATGTTAGAGAATAAGAGAAGAGAAGGAGCAGAGAGTGACCAGCAGGGAGTAGAGTTGCTAGTTTATGTATTGTGGGTAGGAAAGCCCTCTGATAATCGGATGTTTCAGTGGAGACTGAACTAAAGTGAGGGCAGAGCAAGCCATGCAGATAATGTGGGAGACAAGCAGTCCAAGTGCGGGGAAAAAGGCAGAGGCTCTGAGACAGGAGTCTGCTTGGCACATTCAAAGCAAGAAATTGTCCAGTGTGGCTAAAGCAGAAAGCCTGGAGAGTAATGGAAGAGGTGGTCAAAGAGGTAACGGGCCCAGCTCATGCAGAACCTTTGAAGCCATGGTAAGGACTTTGGATTTTACTGTGAGTGAAATAAAGGCTCTTGAAGTTTTGAGCAGAGCATGTAATCTGAACATTTTAAAGGATTGGCCTGACTGTTGTGTAGAGAAGGGACTATGGAATACAAGAGTTGAAACAAGAGGACCAGTCAGGAGTCTTCCTGAAATAGTCCCAGCCAGAGATGATAGTGGCCCAGGTGTTTGCAGTAAAGATACTGGGAAAGAGTTAGAACGTGTGTTTATTTTAAAAGTAGCAGCAGGACTTGCTGATGATTCCAATGTGCAGGGTGAAAGAAAAAGAAGTAAATGACTAGCAAGTTATTTGCCCTGGGCAACTAAAATGAAGTTGCCCTTGACTTGATACAAGGAAGACAGGAACAAGAAGGGGAAACCAAGAGCT